CTTTGGGCAGTGGTAACTCTGAGCCTGAAAAGAAGAAATGACAGTATGAATGAAAAATAGGTAAAACTGCCCCAAGCCTTCTCAATCCATCCTTTTGGAAGGGGGCACATTTCCCACCTCTACAACGGTTAAAGCAGCTGCTCCTCACTCCTGTGCTTAGAGTGCTTTTAAATCCTAACTGAATTGGTATTTTCACCTCACTTAACTTTTTAAATTTTACTATTTGTAAGCAACTCTTTGCCCTGCTCTGAGAGCAGTGTTTGTGGCAGGTATAGGCTCACTGACCTGCCTACACCTTAAGCACAGTAATTGTGCACCGTACCACAGCTCTTCACCCATGACCCGCACGGCCCGTCCGCGCCCGGGGCGGGCTATGAAGAGGCGGCACCCGCCATGTTGGGACGGAGCGGCTCCTCCCAGGCCGAGCGGGGGGAACGCGGGGCCGCTCTCGGCGCAGGAGTTCACTCCGGGCGGGTGACACCACCGCATTTCGCCCACACGCCAGCCCGGGGCGGGTGACACCATCGCCTTTCGCGCACACGCCAGCCCGCGGCGGCTGACGCAGCCCGGGGCGGTGACGCGAGCCCGACTCGCCCCCTCACGGAGGCGGCGCGGCCGTGAGGGCAACCCCCGCCTCCAACGGGTCTCACCGTGATTGGCGCGAGCGCGCCCCTTCTCCGCTGTGATTGGCCAAGCGCGCTGTCACTCCCGGCCTCTGAGGGCAGGGGCGGGCGCTGAGTGGTCGATGCCGGCGGCGGCTCCGCCCCCGCGGGACGCGCGGGGGGAGCGGAGCGGCGGCCGGAGCCGCCGGAGCGGGGGCGGCCTGAGGGCGGGGGGGACGCGGCAGCCGCCGCCGCCATGGAGGCGAGACCGGCGGACCCGCTGCTCTGCGACAGCCTCATCCTCTGGGTGAGTGGCGCGGGGGTTCTGCCGCCTCTGGGGACCCTCGAGGGCAGCGAGGAGGCGCCAGCGGCGGGGGGCTTTTCCCTCCATTCCCCCATCCATCCATCCCCCGTCCCTCCGGCCGCCCTCCGCCCGTCCCGCCCGCGGAGCAGCAGCTGCGGGTGGGTCGGGCTGGGGCTGCCCGGGACACGCCGCTCGCAGCCAGCCAAAGGCTCCCGCGGCGCCCTCCCGGTGTGGATGTGCTGGCTGGAACATCCCGTGGGCCCAAGTGCGGCTCTCCTGCGGCGGCTTCAGTGTGGAAACTGCTCGGCAATTGACACTATTAATAAATAAATGTAATTAATTTGAATTGGCAGGCGTAGAAACCTCAGAGTATTTCATACCGGCTGGTTAAAGCGTTTATTAGTCAGGCACGCCACACCTGGGTGTGTGATGTTACCTGTGCCAGAGGCACCTGTTTGGAACTGCAGAATTATTTAGGTCGGAAAAGACTTTTAAGGTCATCGAGTACAAACAGATTTGTTAAATTTATCAATTACTCTCACTTCCTCTTTATCTTTGTCTCCAAGCTTCTTCTGTGACCTTGTCTGTAATTCTGGTCTTTCAGGTGCAGTAATTTCCGTGACAGGGAGTTCTGTGAAATAGAACTGTATGAAATCTTGGCAGGGAAGGTCACAATTCCTGTGTGAAGGGTTTCTCTAGAAATAGCAGGAGTTTTGTCTCTGAGAAGTGTAAATCATGGAGAGAAGGGAGTGTTTTAGAGGCATTGTAGAAATCCAGGAGCTAAACTGGTAAAAGTAACAGGAGCAGCAGCCTGAGTAGGTGTTCTTGATTTCTGCATGGCAGTACAGAAGTGTTGATGAGTTAAAGTCTGGAATAAATAATTAATAAACAATTTATTGCTTTCTTTTTCCTCCTTCCATTTTCCTTTTAGTGACATTGTATTCTCCCAAGGTTTAGTTGCTGTCCAGAATTTTGGTGGCATTATGTTGGATATCTTTCATTATTTAATATTTCTCTTATTTTGGGCTCTTTAAATTTGTATTTTCCCCTCAGTAGTCAGGTGAGAATAACTTCATAATGATTCAAGGGCAAAAAAAAATCACTGCATTTTTCACAAAAATCCTGTCAGCAGTGCTGAACTCTTTTTATTTTTCACAATTTTTGCTTTAAATATTTCTATCCTGATGTCATTTTTGGTATGCTTACAGTGCAATAGCTGTAATGACATCATGAATCTTAATGGAACCTTAACTGGCCTTAAACTGAACAATTGTGTCAGTGTAAAGGAAGACCCAACCCTGTGTTCTTGTTTTCTATACAGCACTCAGCAGATGCCTGGTTTTAGCTTTAGCACCCTATTTCTCAGGCCGAGTTTGCAACTTAGAAACTGATTCTTAACACTTGGATGTGTTTGAAACATCCTTTCACAATTTGAATTTCAGTGTGAATAATAGGGAGAAAAGTGATGTCAGGAGAGGGAGATGGAGTGCTCTGTGTTTGGAGAGAAGAGGGTTCTGTAACTCTCTGCTTCTAATGGTTTCTCAGTTTATTTACTCATTAATATAGCAAACAGATGCTTATGATTCTTTGCATTTTGCTGCAAGATCTGGCATTTTCCTATTTTTATTTCACCAAATGCGATATTAGAAAATATGCTGCGTCCAGAGAAGAAAGAGAAGATTAAAATAAAAATTGTTTCTGCAGCCCAAGTGTTGCTGAATTTAAAGTTCTGAGGATTTTACAAGAAAAACAAAGCAGCTAAACTGAATTATAGGGCTAATGTTTATGAGTATCCATGAAAAATTGACTTAGGTAATACCTGCTATGGTGGAACTCACAAGCTGCAGCAGAAACAATTTTCTAAGTTAGTTATTTTTCCTCTGTGTAGAGAACAAGTTAATTGGATGATTTTCAGTGCTGTAGTGCCTTAGCCTGCAAACCAGGGACTGGATGTATGGCAACATCTTAAATTGGAAGCATTTTCCACTATAAATGCACTGCATGGCACTGGCACCACTGGGAATGTTTATTTTTATTTTAAAATCTCTTTGATTACTCTATAAAACATGTGTCCCTCCTGTGTATAATCTGGGTGTAAAATGGACAAACTCAACCCATCATTGTCAGGGGAAACTGAGGGCATACCTTCCCTAGGAGGGTGGGCTGATTTCTGCTGGGCACTCTCTACACTTGTGTTTCATCTGCAAATGTTTGGTGGTAGAGCTACAAAATTAACTTTTCAGCTGTTTATTGTGAGCATAACAGCTCTGTGTCTGAGAGAAGAACTTCTGCTGAAGCAGCAAGTGGAAGTGTGCATTTGGGGTGGAATTCACAAAATGGTTTTCAGTGTGAGTAGCAGCATATCCTTGGGGCTATATTTAGTAAAACTGAAAAAAAAATGAGGGAAGAAAGAGCACAGCTACAGTCCTGAAGTCTGTGGCTTCTTTTTCCAACCTCCTCCCCACGCCTGCCACTTTTACTGGTTTTGCAAGAACAGTAAAAATCCATTTTGATGAAATGATTGGGCTGGCATGAGGATTGGGGATAATTAATACTTCTTCTCTCTTATTCTTTCTAGATCCTTATGTGACTTTCAAATACATAGAGAAACCTAGACTGTCAGTTCTGCTTTTTACTTAATTTTAGTTAGCTGTTTCTATTCTGGGAGATCGTGCATAAAGCAGTGTTGCATGTCAGGGTTTTCTAAGGCTTTGTTTACCTGTTCTAACAGGCTCAGGTGAAAGAGTTGCACCTGTGCACAGCAATTCCCTTGCTTTATGAGGGGTATCTCCAGATGGCAGCATTACCATATTGTGCCATAAAACTCTGGATTTGGGAAGGCCAGCCTGGAATGTGAACTTGCATGCCCGTACTTGCGCTGAGGCTGCTGGAGTAGTAGAAGCCAGTGCTATCATGCATAGCAGCTTTGGGCTGTGGTGTTCCACTAATCTTTTATGTAACCCACGAGGGATTACTGACTTCTCACTTCCTGTAAAACAGGATTTAAACCCACTTTTTAAATTAAAAAAATCCCCTTGCTCTGCCTATTTTTCTCTTGGCTTGATTGGACTCTTCTTGAAGGAATAAACAAATATTCAGAATTATGGTCACTCTTTATAAAAAACACAGAGTAGACAAAAACTGCCTCAGATTCTCACAGCTGAAAACTGCTTTTCCATCACTCTGGTCCCAGTAGCTCCATTTCCCAAACACAAGGTCAAGGTCATTTTTTACCAGGAGTTCTGAAGAAGCTTGTGTTGCACAGGATGTTTGGGAAAGCCCTCTTGCAGAGGGACAGATAATTTAGGACATTATAAATGCAATGAGTTTAAGAAGTCAGTTTCTTCAGTGGATGTGGTTTATAAGGATTTGTACTTGCTCCCACTCTATTCTATCTTAGTAATACTAATAATAAACTTTCTGTTTTATTTATTGTGGTAAAGAAGGCTCTTATTTTCCTGAGTACCTGTGACAAACTGACCTGTGTGTGGAAATAGCTGTGTCATCTAGGGTAATTACTTCTGAGTTGATTGTCTTTGGAGGAATAAAATATTGTTATTCTAAATATACAGCTAATTCTGTCAAAATGTTAGCTATAAGCTTGGGGATAGTTAAAAAAAATCCCACAATATTTAAAACAGAGAAACATTTTAGCATTGAGGTAATCCCATCCTATTTCTATTACTAGATTCTTGTAGTAAAAGACTGGATTTTTTTTTTCCCTATCAACTTTCACACCTTATTCTGATGCTGTTTTTTATTTAGGTAGTTATGTCCAGAACTAAGCACTGCCACATAATTAAAAGGCTGGATAAATATGACTTTAGTCTCCCAAGTTACCTTTTCATAATCTGCTTTACAATAGAAAACCTAGCATGAAAAAATAGAGTGTGGATTTTCATACCAACTTTTAAAGCTACCAGTCGTAACAGCCAAAAGTGTCGATAAAATTGGGTTGGCTTAAAGTCTGTGTGGTTCAAAAAGGATTTCAGGTAGAAAGATATCTTGCTAAATGCTTGTGCCTGAAAGGGGAGAAGGAAGATGGTAGTTAATTTATTGTCTGCTGAACTAAACCTGTGTTTTCCCTGTTTTAGCTGCAGACATTCAATACAGCAGCACCCTGCAGGGATGTCCAGGACTTGACTAACGGGGTTGCCATGGCTCAGGTGCTTCACCAAATGTAAGTTGATTCTTCAGCTGGAAGAAGAGGGATTCAATTGCCTGAGGTCTTTGTGTTTGACAGACATAGTTGTTTTTCAAGTAGGCAGAAGTTCAGAATAGACAGTCTATAACAGAAGATAGGTTATGCCTTTGTGTTGCTGTTTTGGGGATGATATAATAGCTAATTAATGACATGGTGGAAAAGGTGATGAGAACATGTAATACTGCAGTATTAAATTCATACTTGGGGTAATTGGGCAAGGATGACATTATCTTCTTCACTTTTCCCATCAGCACTATATCCACACTTCAGGCAATACGTTCCTTTTTAGAATGAGAAAATAAAGATTCCAAAGGCTTGATTTGTGTTCTTTTCTTCCTGAGGTTGCTCAATTAATTTAGATATAAGTTCTAGGTTTTAAATGACAACTTAGTATTTGTGTGGAAGACAAGAACTGTAAAACTTCAATTGCAATTAGTAGTTAGGAATTATTTTACTTTTGATTAGCTGTTCTATTGATGTGATGAAGATTGGTCATCTGAGGGATAATACTAGTTTTGAAATTTGCACAGAGGCTAATAATGCAAGTTTTTTTTTTTTTTTGAAAGAATATCATGCTACAAGTCATCACTACAATGTTATTGCTATTGTTGGCCCAGATAGTTGAAGTCTGCATTACCACCTCAGGTTCAATGTATCATTTTGTAATTACTAAGAAACTACTTTGACACCATCACAATTTCCCCCCATCCCCGCCCCGCAAAAAAAAAAAAAAAAAAAAATAGCTTAGAAACCCTCTTGTCTATTTGTAAAGATTTTAAATGAACTTTTTGGAGACAGAGCTCACCCTTTTTCTGGACATGGCAAAAATTGATTCAGGGTTTGCTGAGAGTTGCTTCCCATGTATTTGGGGTATTAGGCAGCCACATGCTTTGGGCAAACTTCTCAACACCAAGTTGGTTCTTGTGCAAGTGGGGATAACGATTGTCCTTTGTTAGGTGCTTTGACACCAGTGAATAAACAGTGCACTGTCAAACTTAAATATTGTTAAATATGCTGTCATTGTACTGCTTGGCAGCTGAGTGTGTGTAAACACCTCACCTCAATTCATCCTTGTTTATGCTGGTAAACTGAATCCCCTCCTGCCCAGAGGAACCAGAAACATATAAAATATACAAAATGCCAGTAGTTTAAAGTGTTTTCTTAATACATGCCTTTGACAAATTGGAATAAATGTTAGTTAGTCCAGCATACAGGAATAGGTACCAAATATAACGTCTGCACTAGTCAAAAAAAGATGTTACTTTACCTCATTATGGTTACTTTATCAGGTATAAAAATTGAGCATAACAAAGGCCTCCTCATCCTTGTGCTCCATCCAGAGCTGGCTCAGGCACTCCAGCATGTGGGGCATAATGTGCCTTCATGCAGCCAGCAGGATGGAAGTTTCCTGTGATAGAAATTTACCTTGCAATCTCCACGAGTTCGTACCTCATTAGACACTGGAGTTCAGCATCAGATGATTTAATGCTGAGAATTTGCTGTCTTATTTATTTAAGTCTGTGCTCATGGATTAATAATTTAATTTTGTTTCAGAGATGTTGCCTGGTTTGATGCATCTTGGCTCAGTCGCATCAAAGAAGATGTTGGTGACAACTGGAGAATAAAGGTATTTAAAACTGAAGATAATGAAGTTTATGGGGTTGGATATTGTGGCTGTCCTGACATCTGGGAAGCCAAAACCTACAGAATTAAGCTCAAGCTTTTCAAGGATATTTTAAATGAGCTTGAATTGTCTGTTGATAGTTTAAGTGCCTTCCAGCATTGTTGGATGGGGATTTTCTGCTGTGATATTTCTCTTCCTCTGTCCTCTCATAGAGCTGCCTTGTAACCATTTTATTAGAAAATTATTATTTAATTTAATAAGTAAAATTTTAAAAAATTATAATCTTGTCTTTCATGTACAACAACTAGTCCAGTAATTTGAAGAAGATACTGCAAGGAATTATGGACTACTATCATGAGGTATGGAAAAAACAATTTACTGTTGTTGTTGTTCTCATCATTAAACACAATGATTATTGCTCCCCTTGACTTAGCCAAGTAGAAAAAAGGCTGTAATTTGTTTTGAGGACCTTTTAGGCAGCAGATGTATGATAATTACCTGAATGGGAGGTCTGAGTGAATATGAAATCCATTTGAGCAGGTTTGTTTTAGATAAGGCTCTTGGAGTACAAACTGGGAACCATGTGTCTGACCAAGTGAATGTTGAAAGGACTGAGCTGCAGAATCCTCTTGACTTTTGTGTGTGTGTTCATGTTTGCTCTTGTCTAGAGAAGTTTTAATACTTTTGTACACAACAGAACAGACTCGGCAACCCCAGTGTAGGTTTTATGATATTCAGTTGGAAGCTGGGAGCCAAGGTAGGAATGCTCCTGGACAAAAAAATTATTTGTTCTGTCTCATGGAGGGGTGAGTACAGTAGCTGTAAAAGGCTGCTGTATTTTGAATTTAAAAATTTGCTGAATTGTGTATAGAAGTGTTTACAGTTATGTAATGGGTATGGTTTTGAATAACTTGCCAGATCTTGTCGTGGCTTCCTGGTCTTGCCTGGGCTGAGCTGTGACACCAAGAGCCAGGCACTGATGTGCTGCCAGTTCTGAGGATCTCTGGCAGTCCCAGAAGCAGAACTTCTTTAAGCTTATGAAAAGCTTTTTAAAGGATTTGGAAGCAACTCCATCTGAAAGTGTTATTAATTCCTTTTTTTATTATGTTGGTAAAATAAATGAATTCTCTCATATTTGAGAACTGTCTCAATAATTTACTATTGTCACTTTTTCTTGTAGAAGTGCTGAGTTAACTAAACCTGGTACTATACTTCTAGGGCATTTTCTCTGGCTGGCTCACTGAGCCCAGATTTCCTGCATGATACCAAATTTTCATGTCTTACAAAAGTGGCAATCTACTTTTTTCTCATAATGTATTTTTTTTTCAGTTCCTGGGTCAGCAGATTGCAGAAGAGCTTATTCCAGACTTGACCCGGATATCTGAGAACTCGGATCCCACTGAACTGGGCAGGCTCCTGCAGCTTATTTTGGGTTGTGCAGTCAATTGTGAGAGGAAACAAGGTAAGCACTACCTTAACCTGCTCACCAAACAGCAGACTGCCTCAGGTGATAGTTAAGGTGGAAAAGATGTAGAAACTTCTCTTTCTTATCTATCAACATTGTTAACTTGCCGAATGCCTGTTCTGAAACTGGAGTTTACTTAAAAGCAGAAATTCCCTGGGAAGTGTCTGTGAATAAAAGTCAAAAATTTGTTCAGAGTAGGTTTTAAAATATAGTCTGAAATGTGTATGGTTTATTCATATTGTTAAAATACGTACCAAGACTTTTTCAAGTGCAAATATAGCAAAATTAAATTAAATCCTTAAATTAGAAACTGCTTCTATCCCTCCAGAGGCTCAAGCCTGAGTTGCTGGTTTTTCTCTCCTGTTACCAGAACTAATCCTCCATACTCTGATGGCATATCTCCTTAGACAGAGTATTAGTATGTCCAGTTAAGAGTTTATAATCTTTTGTGCTTATCTGCCATATTACCAGATAATAATGATGGTGGTTAATGGTACTCCTCTGTATAAGGAGACCACTACTTGTTCTGAGGGAGCTTTATGGATAATAGTTTCTTCTGGATCTTTCAGCAAACAGTTTATCATATTACTCAAACCATTGAGATGACCATTGTCATGAGTCACTACAAATCCTTTTTCACAGAACACATACAGAATATCATGACCCTTGAAGAGTCTGTTCAGCATGTTGTCATGACAGCCATTCAAGAGGTAGGTAACAATTCATAGCCTGATGCTGTCAGTTGAGAAGTCCAAAAGCCTTTTTGTTGACCTTTGTGATTTTTTCATCCAAGCAAAGGTCAGGGAGGAGTATAAGTACTTTCCTAAATTATTTGGGAGGTTTGAGGCCAAGAGACCTTAAACCCCAACCAAAAGGTTTTCATTTTAGACTCGTGGTGCCCAAACATACAACAAATGCTTAATATTTTTTTTTTGTTCCACACAATAAACGTGTACAGTTGCCAACCACTGATTATACTGGAGTTAGATTCCGAAATTCTGTCCCAGTGCTTTGTCTTGGTCCCAGAGTTAAGCTGATTGTGTTTGTGAGGTTGCATTGTTCTGACAGACCATTCCAGCCTCTGACTTACAAGCTTGCAGCTGCATCTCTTCTATTTTTGTCATGGTGTGCTCCTCCTCATGTCTTAATTTGTTCTTGGTTGGATCATCTTAGTGATCCAGCTCACAGCTTAGCTCTGCAGTCACTGGCTTTTGAGAGCTTCAGGACTGTGAAGGAGAGTGTGGAGAGAGGCAAAAACTAAACACTGGTTGTGAAGAGAAGGTGGTGTGTAATTGCACCCTCATCAAGGTAACAGTGGAGTTGCTAATAAGCTTTATAACTTTGATTTAAATTGACTATATAGTCTTTAAAACTGTACTTGTCCTGTTGGTAGAAATGAATTCTTGAAGCTTGTGTTTGTTGTCTTCTGACTAAGTAAACTTTCTAGAAGGAGGTCTAGAAATAATTCAGTAATTTCTGAGTGAGGAATAAAGCCCTTTAATTGTTGGTAAATACACACTGTACATCTTTGTATCTGAGAAGTAATATTCTCATTGTTTGTTTAGTGGCAATTAATAGGACACAAAGAAATGTGATAACTGTTAATTTAATGGAGTGAAATCCTGCCTTCTGGTTCATTCCAGTTTGACTGACTAGGGGATGGCAGTACCTTCAACACATCACACATTAATCCAATACAGTGTTACTGCAAACTTGGTTAATTTTGAGAGGAGGGAGGTAAAAATCACCTTACTGTAGATCTGTTTCTTTTACCACCTATGAGATGAGGAGGAACAGTATTATTCTGGTTTGGTATATTGAAGGGATGCAATAACACAATGGAAAATACAGTTGGTACTCAGTAGACCTACAGATCTATAACCTCTAATTCAGCCTTTTTTCCTGTGGCTTCTTTCTGTAGCTCATGAGCAAGGAAGTAACAAACGCTTCCCCATGTGATGCATCAAGTGAAGTGGAACAGCAGGTATTTGCCTGATTGGTATTGCTATTGTAGATCAAGCCTAAGCAATAAGTTGGTATTTGGCCATCCCTTAAATGAAGAAATGCTGGTTTTTCAGTGCTAATTAACTGAAAACTTAGGTGTTATTCTATAGCTGCTTTAAAAACCCCACAGTGTCTGCATGGGGTGAAACTGGCCAGTGCAAGCCTACATTGCAGGGAGGGGCTAGAGGTGCTCCAAGGCTCAGTACTTCAGGTTATTTTTAAGGGGTTGTGAAAACTCCTGATAACCTGAACACTACAAGTTGTTGCACATAAAAATAACTTGTCTTTAAAGGGATTTGGAAACGGTGACAGCACCTTCCTGTGTTTTGTTATGCCTTTAGCCTAAGTTGTTGTGCTTACTACACATAATAGTAATAACTTAACTTCTAAGTGTGCTAATCATTTAGAAGGCAAGTGAAATGAGCAGGGATCCTGATCTAACAGTATTATTTACATTTGTGTGTCAATGTGTGCACCCAAAAGCCAACTTAAACAATGGGTGTAAACAATTGAGGCATTTTAGTAGCTGTAACTGAATATTTTCGATAGGGGCCATAGTGATAGACTGCTTTATTTTTTGAAAGCTTAAAAAAGCCTTGGAAGACCTTCAGGAAGCACTAGCAGAAAAGGAGGAATTGGCACAAAGATGCCAAGAGCTGGATTTGCAGGTAAGAAACAGTCAGTTGCTTGTTTCCTTAATATATAGTAGTGCTGCTGTTAAGATGCAGAAATTTTTAACTGCAAAATGCATTTTGCATTGCTTAAATTTTTGTGAGAATTTGTAGCTGTTTGTGGGAGGAAAGCAATTATTCTGTGCTCCAAAATGCAATTACTGGAAAGAGTTTTCTGATGAAAGTGTAAGCTAAGATCCTATGCCAGCTTATATCAAAGGTTCTTTGTCTCAGGTTAATGTTTACCCTTAGTAGCAGGTAGTGTTAAAACAACGTTATCATGGTTTTAAAAATTGCCCTTTTCATTCTTAGTCCTCTAGTCCTTTGTACTGTGTCCAAAAAATCCAGTTCATGTCATAAACAGTCATTAGATTTAATCATAGGAAAATCATGCTGTTTCAATAGGAGTTGATGAATGACAAAAATTTCTAATTTATCTAAAACTTGCTAACTTTTTCTCATACAAAATAGCAACATGGAGGAGATTTCAGGATAAAAATAATGAAAACTAATATATCCTTGCTGTCATTTTCAAACAACACTAATAATAGGCCTACTTTTGTTTTTAATGGATATAGCAATTAATCAAGTCACTCTTGAGAGAAAGAAGAGAGGACTTCATGACAATAAAGATAAATTTGCATTTCAATCAACACTTTAAAGAAAAAATCACTTATTAGCCCCACTCTTATGGCAGTATAATCTGAGAATAGAAAGAGTTTTATCTGGGAAGGCACTTCATGTTAGATTTGGCTCTGCACAAAGAGAACATTGGGGTGGCATCTTCTTGTAGGAGCCAGAGGGCTGTACTGGCTGTGTGAGCCTCTGGAAAAAACAGAGGCCAGTTTTACATTTCTTGCTGACAATCACAACTGTAAAAGCAGAATACTTGTGTCTAAAGCAGCTCAGAGCTACTTGCCAAGCCCAGGAAGCTGCTGCTATAACTGAATTGATATTTAATTTTCTTTTTTCACTTGAGGCAGTAGTAAGGTTTCCTAGTGAAAGCAGAGATCTAAAAATGCTTATGAGAAGAATCTGCAGAAGTCCCAGGTGTTCTCCTGTTTTCCCTGACTTTTCTTCCAGAATTCTCTATTAATTAATCATAGGTGATGCAGAGACAGTTGCTCATAACATGGCATGGGACAGGTGAAAGGTGTTCAAGGGAAAGGTACTGAATATAAACAGATAAGTTAATGACAGCACAGCTCTGTAATACTGTGGTGTGTCTTCAAAACCTCTCCTCCTAATTTCTGTTGACTGTGATACCACTTCTGCTACATTGAAATAATTAAAAAAGAAGAGATGGCTACCAGAAAGAAAATATTTAGAACTTGCTCTGAGTTGTGTCACAGTATGATCTTTAGGGTTTTTTAAGTCTGAGATGAGTGATGGTTCAGGATTATTCTGAAAATCCAAATGTTGTGCATGTTTGAGGAGTGGTTGACCCTTGAACAGGAGGCTGAGCAAGGCTCAGATGTGCTTCCTACTCATAGGTGTTTGTGTGCATGTAAATAGTAAATGACATTTGGTACATAAAAAGGAGTGAACCTAGAAAGCCAGCACCTCATGAAGTGGCAGATTAATCAGTTTGACTTTTACATGTTTGCCTGATAGATTTTTAAATTTGATCACAAAGAAATTGTTTCTTAATATTGCATACTGTAGATTATATCTGTTTAATAATGTCATCATTGTATGTTTTATTTATTTGAAGCCGTAATATTGACTTGACGCTTCTAATTTAAACTAATTCTTAATAAATTCACTTGTAAGGTCTCAGTCTTCCTTGATATTTTCCAAGAGTATAAGAAAGGTAGGTTTACTTTATAATTCAGGAAAACATAACCCAAAAAGCATATTGTCCCTGTTTAAATGCAGTCGACTAACACACGCTGTGTGCTCTTATGTTTGACAGGACGTTAAAATTAACACAGCAGCTTTCACTAGGCAAACTTTAAAGGTTCTATCCTCTTAATCCTTGTGGCTGTGAAGCTGGCTGGTGTCAGTGAAGTGCTGTAGCCCCTGTGCTTAGCTGTGACACCGGGTAGCCGTGTGTGTGCTGCCGGGGTTGCATGCTCCCCGAGGCTGGCCAGGCTGTCCGTGCGTGTGCGCTTCGGCCGCCCCCGCTTCCCGCAGCCATCCCGCCGAGCCCGGCAGCCTGGGCTGCTGCCCGTGCCCTGCTGCTTCTGGGTTTCACCTACAGGCAAGATGGACACTTGTTGCAGCAGCACTCAGAGTTTTTTGTACGGCATCCATGGTGTTTTTAATGGAAGTAACAGTTTCTCTTCATATCACTTTGTCTGCCTTTTTACCGTGGTTTCAGTTACAGAAATTTGTCTTTTTTATTTAGAGGGACTTTTCCTTTAGTGCTTCATAACTGTCATACACTAAAGCATCTGTATGCTCAAGTGTGCTCTGTAAACTACATTCTAAAACTTCTAAACGCTCAGCCTTTTTCATAAACTAATTTGGTGATGTATCGCTGTCTTCCTTCAGTTCTTTGGACAGGTCTTACAGTGTTCATGCTGTTTTATCTGTGCTAGGTGGCTGCCCTCCAGGATGAGAAAAACAGCTTGATATCAGAAAATGAGATTATGAATGACAGACTAGAGCAATTAGATGACTCTCTTGATGATCCAAATACAGTGGTTGCAAAAAAATACTTTAGTGCACAGTTGCAGCTGGAACAATTGCAAGAAGAAAACTTCAGGTATGAAATTATTTTCCCCCAAAATCTTTCACTTGACTAATGTACTCTGAAAATTTCTGGTACTCTCTGGGGATTTTCCATCTCAATTTCTTTTGCATTAAAAGCTGTCTAGTGCTGTATAAGCATATTTTAAAGGCAATCCTTACATTTAAAAAGAAAAAGAATCTGTTACTTGTAAAAAGTATCCGTTTGTAATTAATTGGCAGTGGGGGGAATAGCCCTCTAAACTTCCAAAAAGGGAAGAATATGATGGAAGGCAAAAAAATGAGTGCTGATTTGTGTGTCAACAAATCAAAACCTAAATCCCCCCAACACCATCATGTCTGTCTACTGAACTGATTTCTTTCTTTCTTTAGTCTCTCTCTGTGATCCATAGTGGGAAACAAAATCACTTTGCATGTCACTCCTTGATACTGTTGTGATAAATTTGCAGTGTGCAATGCATTATGATTTAGACAACAAAATGTTCCATGTTTCTTGTAGCATTTTCCCAGCTGCTTTAATCAGTAGTTTTCCTTTTATCTCGTTTCTTTTTAGAAATTCTAGTACTAAATGAAACTGTGCAATAGTGATGAGTTGCTAACAAAAGTACTGGTTTTGATCTGGTAGGCTTGAAGCTGCAAAAGATGATTATCGTGTCCATTGTGAAGATCTAGAAAAGCAATTGATTGAGCTGCAACATAGAAACAATGAACTGACTTCTCTGGCAGAAGAATCAAGAGCCTTGAAAGATGAGAATGACATTCTTAGGTATGTAGCAGAGAGAGCTCCACACACACACACACATTAGGATTTAATGGCTAAATTTAGGTTAGTGAGATCATTAACAAAATGAAGATGAAACACACAGTAACTTTCATGAGAATTCAATATAACATTCCAGCTTGTGTAAACTGTATTAAATACCAGACCACCCAAGAAATATCCAAAATAAATTGTATTGTGAAAGCAAATCTGCTATTCATAAAATAATATGAATAAAACATGGATAGAAAAGTGGTTTCAGGTGTTTAACTTAGTGGTTCCTAAATAACATCTGAAACAAATCTCCTAGTTGTAGATTTTTTCCATTATTTTCTTGTACCAGCTTCTGATGAGATATGACTACAGCTAATAAACACAGATATTAAAATTAATTTTAAAATTATGGTCCCAGTGTTTTCTTACCATGTAGATTTTTTTTTAATGATCAGCTGACAGGTCTTGGGTGTATCTGCCAGTGATCATTTTCACAGAGCAGCTATGTTCTAATTCTGAATAATCCTCCAGTGAAATCACACCAGGTTCCCGTAGTTTGAGGTGACTGTCTAGCACAGGATGTTGTGGTGCACAGAATTCCTCAGGGATATTCGACCCACTAACCCTTGCTCATATTTCTGGCATGTGACTGTCAGTCTCACTTGAAGTCTGGCTGATTTCAGTTTTTATAAGCAAGTTTGTGTCAATTATACATTTAAAAACAAAGCGGTGAAATGTAACTGCTGCTAAGCATGTTATGTCTCTCTTTGAAAGTAGCATGTATCAGCAGAGTTTGAGTTTTGTAATGTTTCCTTCTGGTTACTGTTTATGCCTCAAGGGCTACTGCAGACAAGGCAAGCAAGCTGGAGCTGACGGTGGAGGTGTATCGGAAGAAGCTGCAGGACCTGAACGATTTCCGCAGGCAGGTCAAGTCCCTGCAGGAGACCAACATGATGTACATGCACAACACCGTCAGCCTGGAGGATGAGCTCAGGAAAGCCAACGCAGCACGAGCCCAGCTGGAAACCTACAAAAAACAGGTAGTGCTGCACTTGTGTCTGAAAGGTTCCTTTTTCCCCAGGTAGTTGGGAGCACCTTAGCAACCCCGCACTGTCCTTTTGGAATTTCAGAGTTGTGAAAATTCCTTCATACCCTGTGGTTCCATTGTGGGCTTTTTGCTGTTTATTAAATTTGCAAGCTTATCTGTAGTCGCCCTTTCAACTGATGTAGAGTCCATAGTCTTCAGGCTTTTCTTCTTTACTCTGACTGAAGTAATTTGTGTACCTGGGAGAGGTTGTTCAGCTGTTACTGAGATCATTTATATAGAATTATAGAATGGTTTGGCTTGGAAGGGGACCTTGAAGATATCTCATTCCACTGCCATGGGCAGGGACACCTTCCACTATCCCAGATTGCTCCAAGCCCCAGCCAACCTGAGCTTGAACACTTCAGGGATGGGATACCCACAACTTCCCTTGGAAATTGTGCCAGGGTCTCACCACCCTCACAGTAAAGAATTTTTTCCTAATACCTGATCTAAACCTATTCTCTTTCAATTTGAACCCATTCCCCCTGTCCTGTCACTACATTCTTATATTCTCATATTCTTACCATTCTTCATGAAAATTAGAAGTTTTATTTTAATTTCAGTAGGAATGAAGAAAGAGTTAAATGAAAAAAAAAACAATAAAAAAACAAAAACCAAAATCAACCAAATAAAAATAAATGTAACACCCCCCAAAGCACAGGGGCCCCCATCCCATCTCTGCTTCGTTAAGCTTGAGGAACCAGCTGTTTTATTTTGGCTGAATTGGGCAGGAAGGACTGTTTTAATGTAGCTTTATAAAGTAGCATCTTGCAACATTCCTGTGCTAAATAATGCTTTTATGAAAAGGTCCAGGAGCTCCATAACAAACTGTCTGAAGAATCGAAAAGAGCTGATAAGCTGGCATTTGAAATGAAACGACTTGAAGAAAAATATGAAGCTTTAATGAAAGAAAAAGAAGTAAGTCTCTTTGTTTATTTGAATACCTAAATCTCTTCCAGATCCTCTGCTTGAGGAGAACCTTCCTGGAAGTAGTGCCACCATAAAAAAATGAAGTTTAGTGCCCTGTGTGTATGCATTTACATATAAAACAAAATACAGAATAATCGAAGTATGAAGGTTGGGAAAGATATCCAAGATCAGCAAGACCAGCCTAAAATTTGCATGTGTCATTCTTACTTCTGATTAATGTTACTTGGTCTTAAAAGTGGTGCAGCCTGACCTAATTCCATCTGAAATGTGTCTTGCTAGAGACTGATAGTGCAGTGTGATGCATTAAGAGAGACAAATGAGGAGCTCCGATGTGCACAGATGCAGCAGGATCACCTGAGTCAAACAGGTACTGCTTTGTCTTCAGAGAGCTTTTATTTGGATTACAGCTTTCTTTAAGTGTTCTCTAAATTGAACCCCTCATGTGATTTCAGGTGAAAAAAGCCATGAGAATCTTGCTGCTGAAATTCTGCCAGTGGAATATAGGTGAGACCCAAAGGCTGAGGTTGTTTTGGGTGTTCATAGGTGAGGCATGACAATGCCTCTGTGAAAGTTGAGTATTTTCATCAATGTGATTCTTTATCCCACTCCTTTCTCTGCCACCATATAAGTGTTAATAATTATTTCCCCATACTAAAATTACTTTGCTTTTTTCTTAAAACCATATCAGATTGCTGTATATAAATCTGGGTTTGGAATGACAGTTTAAACTCTGCTTATATCTCTTAAAGTTTTCAAACATTTTAAGTTACCTTTTAATAACAAATTGAGACTATTACTTCCTCCTCTTAGTCACCTTCTTAATTAACAGTGGCTTTTATTTGTTGTTTCTGCTGCAGAGAAATGTTTATTCGGCTGCAGCATGAAAATAAGATGCTCCTGCTGAAACAGGAGGGATCAGAAAATGAACGGATTGCTGAGCTCCAGGAAGAGCTGGAGCAGAAGCACCGGACAGTGAACGAGCTGGAAACTGAGAAAAGGTGATGGGTGAAACTACATCTTAAAATACAGCCAAAAGTGATCTCTGGAGTTTTTAGGGTGACCTGTGCCTAGCATCTGTAGTGTAGGAACCTTTTCTTTCACCACTGTAATCATAAATGAAGGATTATGAAGCAAGGAAGAAGGAAAGTGGTTTAAATGTGGTAAATCTGTGTGTACCATACCCTGAAGGAAGTGTTGCTTACAGTTCACTCTTCTTCACTCTGAATTATTCTTGGTAGACCAAGAATGGATGTGAACTCTATTTCTAGAACTTCAGAGTGTTAGATCATGGATTTTCCATCAATGAATGCTAAAAAATTGTACTAGAATAGGAAAATTTTTGATAGTTAACTTTTTCTCAAAACTCAAAATGACAATAGGAATTTAATTATAAAATGTTCAGTAAAGCTCCATGTGTTTGTTTCTGCAGAAATTCCAGTCAAACTAAAAGCATTTGAAATCAGTTTATTTGAGGCTTAAGTTGTGCAGGGTAGACCCTCTGAGCAGTTAATGAAACAGAAAAATCTGTGAGCTATTTAGATGGGCAATAACTGTATTTTCTTCCTAAAAGGCTCAATGAAGAGCGTATTGGAGGATTACAGCAGCAGATTGAAGATCTGCAAAAGACTTTACAGGAGCAGGGATCCAAGACTGAAGGAGTAAGTGAAACATTTTGCCAATTTTGTTTAGAAACTTCCAGTTTAGCATCAAGTCCTTTGTTTAGCATCTTACTTTTCAGTGTATCTGAGAAGTACCTCCATATAAACTGCAGTTCACTTGAAAAGTTCATATTTTATGTGATTCCTTCTATGGAACTGTAACCCTTCTACTTTACTTTCAAAGTCCCTGGTTTTATCATTCAGTGGATTTATTTGCTTTTGCTTGTTTAGTTATACTAAGTATTCTTGGCTGATTTGTAAGAGCCCTTGAATGTTGCATGATATGAAATACTGAAATACAACTGAATTGTAACTCTCTCCTTTCACAGTCCAGCAACCTGAAGCAGAAATTGGCAGCACACATGTAAGTAAGGCACATGCATCCACAGTAGCTTATTTATATTAAATAGAGCACAGGAACTGCTTAAATCATGGTAGGGATGTCTTGGTTTTCTATGCCACTGATCCGAGAATTATGCATAGAGTTAAATATTGGTGTTATAGTTTTGTTTACTCTGACCATGATGATCTTGTAGTACCAGTCCCACTTCACTGTCTCTTCATCACCACCAGCATTTTAACTGTTCTGATTCTGCAACAGACTGCTAAAACCATCACTCAAAGTGTATTCCACTCCTCTGAAATATTTCCAGTCCTTTCAGCAGATGTAGTTCTTCCTGAGATGATGCCAGAGGGGCTTAATAGTTAATTTTCCTAGTTTTAACTAAAGGAGGATCAACTCAGAAGTGACAGCTTTTATGATATTAATATTTCTATTCAAACCCTAAAGTGCTAGAGCTTAAAACAGTTATTTAAATATACTTCTATAATGAAGTTTAAGCTTCCAGCTGTTAAACCTGGAATTATTTGTGATCTTAATCCTTAGCCCAACTTTTCGTTCACAGGGAAAAGTTGAACGAGGTTCATGATGAGTTACAGAAGAAAGAGGCTGATCTTGCAGAGCTCCAGCCTGATGACAGTCAGAACCGTGAGTTGTTTGGGGCCTTTTTTGTGTATTTTTTAATGAGACTGTGCTAAGTTTCTTCTGAAATTATTCCCATATCCACTGGACTATGGGATAGTTTTCTGGATGAGGCTTTCTGCTGCAGCTTAGCTTTCAGGCTGAACTGGGGGGGTCTTGGAGGGGTTTTTTATGTGGTGGTGGGCAGGGAGAGGATCCCGGGGGGATGAGGTTTGTTGAACAGTGCTCTGCAAAATGGGATTTCAGGGTCAGGTGGGACAGCAAAAACAAAAATGAGAACTTAAACCTTCTAAACTTCTAGCTTCTACATCATTCTTTGTTTGAGGGATTGTGAAATCAAGAGAAAACAGAAGCCCTGAAAGTACCATGCCTGTTTTTATTTTGTATGCCTTTGTTGATAATTTCTGTAAACAGCCCAGAAGATTGGAGAGCTGGAAGCAGCTTTACGAAAAAAAGATGAGGATATGAAAGCCATGGAAGAAAGATATAAAATGTACCTTGAAAAAGCAAGGAATGTGAGTGGCATGTTTCTGAACATATGCATTCCTCCCTCATAAATTGTTAAACAGATTGAGTGTGTGTGTCCCCCCCTCCCAATTAAAAGCAGTATCTGCAAGTTGCATTTTTAGTCAGATTGTTCAACTGCAGTCAGTTAAGTCTGAGAGAATAAATAGAGTTTAGGTTGAGCATGAGATGTAGTAAGGATTCCTTTGTACCCTTTGCTCTCTGTTGGACAGGGTAACAGCCTGACCAGGGCCCAGCCTGTTCTCACACTCCTCCTTAGAGCTGATAAGATGCAGAGCTGTTGAGAATCAAACTGACTTGCATTGCTCTTGTTTTGCCTTGTCCAGGTGATAAAAACCTTAGACCCCAAGCTAAATCCAGCATCAGCAGAAATTATGTTGCTCAGAAAACAGATACTGGAAAAAGAGAAAAGAATTGAAGCACTAGAGGTAAAATTTTTGCATATATTTAAAAATAACTTCTAATATATTCTGTTTCTGTTATTAGGCATTCAAGATGTTGTTTCCTAGTGATTCAGTAAAATCTGCTTGGCTGAAATTCTGAAAGGATTGATAGTAGTCCAAATATGAAAAAAAAATTGGAGAAATGCACTGTTTCATAGCAATATTGGTGGGACTATTTGGAATAGTTGCCTGAGCAAATACAGAACTCTTCAGCATGATTCAGTAGGCTGATAGGTCTGACTGCATAAATGCTGTGGCCTCGTATTTCTTTTATGTAATGACTACTATGGAGGTATATTATATAATAGCAATTAGCCAGTCATTGGATGTACATCCTTTTCAGGTGAAAAATTACTAAATTACAGGTTTTCTGATACACAGCAGACCTCTTGTGCATTTCCCCACACAAACCCTCAGTGTACACTTCCAAGTTCCATTTGTGTTTCTAACTGCAACTTATGTAGTTTAGCCTCTTCTTAAAGCTGGCTGATATTTATCTCTCAGTTTTTAATGGAAATATCTTTGTTTATACTTCTAGGCTTTGTAGTTATTTGATGTATTGAAGCGTTTCTGCTGCATGTGTTTATTTCACTCAGTGGACTGCAGCAAGTGTATGCAGATAAAATTTGTGTTTTAACTGAGATTTTTGTCCTTGCAGAATGAATACAAAATGGCCAAGTTACGTGACTATGAGGAAAAACTGATTGTAACTGCATGGTACAACAAGGTGGGTCAAAAATCCACTTTTTGAAACATCTTTTGCTACATGTGCCAATTCAATCTTAGTTAACCTAAGAAACACAGCGGAAAATATTTCTACGTGCATGCTAAGAAAGCGTGAGCAGGATGGGTAATTTTTCTTCGTTGTTTTTGCTGTTGTTGAAGTTGTTGTTTAACTCCTGCAGAGCCTGAGTCTGCAGAAGCTGGGCATGGAAGCCAGGCTGCTGGGCAGCAGTGGCAGCTGCGGGGCCGGGCCCGGCCGCTCCTTCCTGGCACAGCAGCGCCACGTCACCAACACCAGGAGGAACCTCACCGTGAAAGTACCAGGTGCAACAGCTGATTAAACACGAGGACATGAAGAAGACTCACATGCTAAAGTGTCCTTAAATGTTTTATACCTTTCCACTTTACCTGCTTGATGAGGGAGGAGGTTAGAATGCTGGGCAGCTGCAAATGACAACATCAGAACCTGTCAGGAAGGGATTAAGTTGATGAGCCAGAAGGTAGCATGTAGATTTCCAAGTAGATTTAATAATTGCAGCATGTACAAGCACAACTTAAAAGATTTCTATTTGCCTTCAGATTATATTGTAAATATGAAATTTGGCACTATATATTTAAAACTTTATTTAAGTGGGTTTGGGCTAGAAAGTTGACTTTTATAATGGGAAGATGTTATGCAAAAGTGTACTTCAGGAAACTGGCAAAATTGGGCATTTTTGCTGGGCTCTTCTGAAAGCAGATCTAAAAGATTAGTAACATCTTTTAAAAAAAGACTTTTTAGACTAGAAAGTACGATTTTAAAAGCAAGAAATTACTTGCATTTATAGAAGAAAATAAAGGTGTGGTACCACCTTTACTGGTACATAACCAGTTGTTATGTAACAGAAGACAGGATTTGTTTTATGCGAAGCAAAATTTCTCAGTTTATTAAAAAAAAAAAAAAAAAGCAAAGCTTAAGTTGGTGCATATATGTACTGAGGAAAACCTGTCTTTAAGATGTTGAATTCACTTAAGCCAAAAAAGCTTGTCTTTTCCTGGGTAAGAAAAAAGCTATTGTACTAACTCAAAAGTCTGGGCTATATTTTAAAAGTCTGGTACATTGGTATGCTGCATTTATCTGCAGAAAGGGGATTAGGTGGGAAGGAGCCCCATTTATTTCAACCTTTTTATACAAGCCTGTGCATGGAAATTGCATTTCCTCTTTTTTAAGTGTAGTTTCACTCGGCTCTTCTGAACTAACTGTGCTAGGCAGAGGAGTGAGATGGCTTTGGCAGTTACTGACAGCAGAGGTTGTTTGTTGGCAGGGAGCAAAGTACATAAACTGTAATAGTTTGATTGAAGATTAAATGGGGATTGTTACCTGAAATCAGTGTGCAGGAAGTTGCTGTCTTTCATAAAACTTGTGACTTTATTTCCCAAAAGTCTAGCTCTTGTTTTGAATTGTAATTTTAGGAAACCTATTAATGTCTGTTTTTTGCAATAGTCCAGAAAAAGTTCTTTATACCAATAGTTAAATAAAATAAAATTGCAGCAGCCCTTAAAATGAAATGAATACACTTAATTTAATTATTTGAGGGTGCTGTACCAGACCACCATCTAATATAAAATTCAGCTGCCTGTGAGAATGAAAGCACACCTGCCTTACCATTAAGGCCATGTTTAATTTGAGAACAGGGTTCAGCTTTACAGAATTTTTAGGTTTTGAATAGTGACATTTGTGTAGTGTGTCATTTTGCCTGCCCCTCACTATAGTTTGTCTTTTGATTTCTTCTTTCCCCAACATCTTAAATTTTTAACTGAGCATTGCATGTCATGCCAGAGAAAAGACAAGCATTCATTTTTGATACTTAGGGTTGCTTCTTAGTTGTGGTGGTTGTTTTACAGTGCTGTATGTATGAATAGGCATTCAACAGATTTCTTCCTTCAAAAGGCATTGTTTAGAAGCCAGTCTTGTGCTCAGTGTGGCATGAGCCAGACACGTGGCTGTTGGAGAGGTGTCTGTGGTGGTGTTCTTCAGGACTCTATGCTTCTTTGGACTACCTCGTGGGTTTTGAGGTCTTTTATTGCTGCAGTAGTGTTAGTGGAGTTGGTGTTCTTAAGGTACAGTTACATATTTAATCTGCCAGTGCTGTGGGTGGGAGGGAGTTGGTGGTGAGCAGGAGATTAAGGCTTAGCAAGATGCTTCCATTCCTAAAGTCTGGTATTTGGTGTGTTCTAGTGAAACGTGGAGCTGTTTCCGATGGTGTTGAATGGGTCTCTTAACCCTCGTTCTTTGCAGCACGGAAACTTTCATGGATGTCCTTCAAATACTCATGTAGTTGGTAGGCTTGATTTGTTGTACTTCTCCCAGTAGTGGAGCTGTGTCAGTAGTCTGTCAGGTGCTGAATAGTGACAAACTTGGAGCAATTGTCTTTGACTTACACTTCTCAAAACTGCAGATCCTGGGACCAAAAATAACTGAGAACCTCCCTATCATTTCATTGGAAGTTTGTCTTCTGACTAGTAATGGAAGAATTTAAGTCCTGATCTACAGGCAGGGATCAGCCTTTTTCAGGGCAGAGTTGTCCCCAGTAATCATGTTGGGGTTGCCAAAATTAATCTGGTTTTCAGGTATTGGATGAAATGTTGCTTATCTGGGACTTCTCCAAACTGTTAAGAGTGAAGCCTGTGAATATCACTCAAGGGATTCTTTGGGACTGAAAACCTGTTTAGAAGCAGCTGTTACACAGCTACTTAAACCTGGGTTCTGTCCTGTGAACGAGGAACTGATGTGTGGAAATAAATACTGGATTATAAGACATGGTGTTGTATTCACTTCAGCTCATCTGCCTATGCAGGAAGGACCATTAGCATCATTTTAATGTTTGCTTCACCAATGGCAAACCAAAAGCTGCTGAAAACACTGCTGTGCTACAGCTGAACTGTGTCCAGCATGCAGCAGCAGAGCCCTGCATGTCCTTGGATGCACCACTGCTGAGGCAGGAGGAACAGAGAGGCCCTTTAGCTCTCTGGAAAAGTGAATTTGTACCGGCACAGTTCAGAGCAGACTCAAACATGAGGTGAAACCACTGAATCCTGCTGAAGTTAAATGGCATTATTAGGAATTTAGCCAGTTTCCAGTAAAACGGGTAATGTACATCCAAAGAAAACAAGAAAATATGTTCTGATTGACATATCATTTGTTAATTATTTTTTATATAAGATTAATTACTATGGAAGAGAAGTGTTTTATAGCAATAATACAAAATATGAACTAATAGGTTCTTTTACTCAAGATGGGTCAGGCAGCAGTTTTGAGAAGATTTTTTTGCAACAATGTTACTATATAGTGGTTTAAGAAACATTCACTGAAAAGAAATTTTCACCTGATTTTTTTTGTTCATTAAAAAAAATATAAATGGGTATTCTATTTTCTATGATATGCACTTATTGGAAATAAGTAATATAAGCAATACTGATGTTCTATTTAGGTAGCCATAAATAGTTTAGGAAATAGAAAATGAAAATAATTGTTTAGGATTTGGTAATGTTCTTACTTGTTTCTTTTTCCCCTTCTCCTAAAGCTGGAGTTAAGATTTTCAGTGTGTCGGTGTCTACATCTTCTGTTTAAAACAAATGTAAACACTGTGTTGCATAGAACTCAAAAAATTGCACTAATTTTTAAACTTTTGGTTTTATTTTTTTCTTTGGAAAAAAAATCCTTTTATATTCACATAAAGATTTTTAAAATTAATTCTTTGGTGTCTTTATTCCAAGAGTATTAAGTATTTAAGAGTCCCTAGATGCTGTTTCTGGGCAATGCACAACCTGGTACATTTACACCACCTAAAATACCCTGTTTCAGAACAGACTTGTATTATAATGAGGGTATGGATGTAATGAGTTGTGCTGCTCTCCTCTGCTGTTTCCAGTTCATTCCTCCCACCCAGAGCTGGTTCCCTCTGCTCAGCCCACGGACTGAGAGTTGGGCAAAGGGCCTTGTGAAGTGAAGAGATTAAACCCCTCTGCAGATGGGCTGTGAAGTGACCTCAGAAATTATTGCTGCTGAGGTAGGTGAGGGTCTCTGTCTGGTTATCAGCCCCACCTGAGAGGACACAGAGGACAGGTACAGCTCTAAATCACTGTTCTTGCTTTTATTGGGAAAAGAAAACTGTCTGCCCTGTCCATCCTGCTGTGCAGGCGATTTATGTGCTCCATTCTTAATCCCATTGTCAGCTCTCATTCCCTGAGCACTTCCTCCAGCCCAGAAGTGCTGTTGGTGAAGTGTGGCAGCCTTCAGCCCTCCAGAGCGAAGATCCGAGGATGAGGAGCTGCACTGATTCCCCAGCGGGCAAGGGCTTGTCCCAGAGAGGGTGAAGCCATTATGGAAGAGTTGGTTTTCCTGCTTTCTGAGGCTGGACATAAAAACAGTTTCAGACACTGAAACGAAAATGTGCAGGTGTGTGTGGGAGAAGGGAAGGGAAGAGGTGCTCAGCTGTGCACAAAGCCTGAGCTGAGCTGCAGGATGTGTTCAGTCCTGACCCTGTTTGCTTGCAGTTTTCTGGCAGCCCCTGAAGAGCCAAGCACTGCAGCAGGAGTTGTGTGTTCAGTTGAGGGGTGTTCCTGGAAGAGGAATACAGGTTTAAAGCCCTGAGTGCAAAGGAAAGGAGGAGCTGAGGTCAGTCATGCGCTGGGAGATAATTTAGGTGGAGGGGGCAAAATATTCAAGAAGCCTTCTGAAATGCATTCTTTTGGAGTTTAACTAATTGAACAGGGGCCTATGGAGGAAGCTTTTGGATAGAGCAGCAGGTTGGGAAAGAAAATGGGAATCTGAGCAAATCACTGAGGCGGGAAAAATGTACCACAAAATAGATGACACCTATGCACTGGAATTGTTTTGGGAGTAATGCTCACACTGCAGAAACTTAACAGTGTTCCCCTTCCCTGTTCCCAGTCAATTCCAGGCATGCTGCCCATTTACAGCTTTCCCCTTCAACTTCTCTCAGAGAAAGAAAAGAAAGGAGATCAGGTCTAGAAAGTCAAATGACTTTTTTGTTTCTGCTGGAAAGGGGAGGTGTGAGAGCCCATGCCAGCAGCAGGTTGGAGGCATGAGGAGAGGAGGAGGTGTAAGGCTGGGGCTGACCAGTCCCTAGGATTGGGATGAGACAAGTCTGCATTTAATAAATGGACTGGTTTGTGTCCCACCATGTGTCCTCATTTCTTTAACTTACCAGATGTGTGAAAGCCTCAAGTACTAGGAACAGTATCTCAGCCCAAACTCTTGTTTCCACTGGCACAGAAAATCAGAGGAGGTGGCAGAACCCCCACCCAGCCAGTGCTGAAGGAGCTGTGCCAGGAGCTGAGTTCACCTGGGAGAAATTTGCTTCCTCTGAGAAGAAGTGAGCTGTACTCCAGGGAAAATTGAAAAGAGGAAAAGATTGCTCATTTCCTCAGCAGCAGGGCAGAGCTCTAGGTGTGTGTTCCTGGTGCTGTGCTGATTTCCTGATTTCCCATCCTGTTCCTGGGAGCTGCAGCTTCTACCTGGAAGTCTCAACAGACTCCTTGAGGTGCAGCTGTTTCCCAGTTCAGTGCATTTACTGGTGTTAACCATTGGTTGCCAATCTTGGGACTGTTTCATTGTGTAGATGATGGTTCAAACCAGTAATTTGTTGCTGTTATTTTCCAAGCCCCCCTTTTCCTCGTTAGACTGTTGAGTGCAGCTGAACTGCATTGTGTGTTGCTGGAGCTCACCCCACTGGACACACCAGCCACTCTGTGATACTGGGCAGGTAGACAGAGAGGATTTTGCATATAGTAATTCTAGCTGTTATGCCAGGATAATTTTTTTCCATCACTTCTGTAGGAATAGCCTTTGCTTTTACAGTGCCAACCTCCTGCAGTGCAGGCCAAAGCCTGCAGCCTGTGCTAGACATGGCCTGCATTGGGCTTCACTTTGCAGAGCACTTCATGACAAAAATGCTTTGATAAAGATTTATTATGTATGAGACAAGTGTTACAGAATGACTTTTTTTTTTTTAGGTAAGTACATGTTAAGGAAATGTCAAATTAATACTTGTGTTAATGTTATAAAACAAAAGCTGGTATTGCTCTCCCACTGTACCCAACCACAGTGGGTGGCTCTAAAGTGTCTAAAGTGTCCCCTCATTTTGCCAAAGTGAACCATGGCCATCCGTCATAAACTTAGGAAATCCCCAAGCCCCTCATTAATTTACACTGCCATAGGGCAAGCCTAATAATGCCCTGGAAATTCCCAGCCTGATCCCATGATCATCACACCATCATGGAATACAGAGTGCAAGGTCTAATTGTGGAAGAAAAATATTTTACAATTGCTTTGAAAGAAATAAACCAGCCAGCCTCCCCCTAGAGCTGCCAAGGGCTTGTTTTCAGCACCCCTGAGAAAGGATTTTCCATGTGAGGATGGTGGCCAAGGCTTCCCTACCGAGGTACTGCACAGATCTTGTAGGGCTGTGGGGCCACTGTGATGCCTATCAAGGACTGGAGGGTAAGTGTGGTGTCCGGGGGTGCCTGGAAGGTGAATTTCTGCAGCAGGCAGGTGAAGAAGAGGAAGAGCTCGGAACGGGCCAGTAGCTCACCCAGGCAGGCACGCTTCCCTGTGGAGACAGCAACACACAGCATCCTCAGGTTGAGCTTTTGCTGCTGAAAATGCTTCTTCCTGCCTTTAAGGACCGTGGTCCAGCTGTGTTGCCTCATTCCTGGGTGAGTTTTTCAACCCAAATCAAGCTTCCCAATAATACTTCGGCATTACAGCATTGTGTGCTCCCAAATTGTGTGACTTTTTACACACACACAGCCTGGATGTGCCCATGCTGAGACAGCTCACCAAAGAGAGCTACCCTATGTGTGGTGCTGGTGTGGGAAGCATGTGCTAAAAGCAACTTCCCCATGGAAGCTGCTGGCTGGGGAACCCTGTGGTGGCAACAGTGAGGGACCAGCCATGAGGGAGCAGAGCAATGGCCTTAGTGAAGATGTTCCTAAGATCTCCGGAATTTACATGGATTTTTATTCATCCTCATTTCTCCTCTGTGCATGTGAAAGATAAGGGCCCAAGTGTGGTTGTGGTTCTCTGGGGAGGCAATGGGCACATTTTGAGCAGCACCTCCAGGGTGCATCTGCCCTTTGCATTGCTGTTTTCCTCTCTGTCTCCAGCCTGCAGTTGGAAACCCAAGCCCACATGTTCACCATAATTCAGTAAATCTTACCCAAAGAAAATGGTAGGAAATGCTCCTTTTTCCAGAACTTCCCATCCTTCAGAAAATGCTCGGGGTTAAAAGTATTAGGGGTTTTCCACTCATTCTTGTCAAACAGCAGAGAGGATAAATTTGCCATTATACCAGTGCCCTAAGAGGAAAAAACAAAAATAAATCACACTTTCTCTGGCACTGGCAGCAGGAGGGGCAGTTTTATCTTTCAGTCTCCTCTCCATAAAGAACATCCTTAGTCAAATTCTACTGAAATTATTTGTGCAACACTGCACTACAGGCCCAGATTTTCTACTTCTTGTCTGTTTGGAGGTGCAGTTACATAACTGCATTTTCCTTCATCAGCAACGTTTTTATTGTAATCTTGGGCCAAAGTCCCTGTAAGAGCTGGGAGCTGGGATCTGTGCCTCAAAGGCATGTGTGGGGGTGTGGCACCATTCAGGGAACTGGAGAACGTTGGATGGCAAAAATCCACATTCAGCAGGAGTGAACTCTGGACAGGGCAGGGACACTGCACAGGAGGGACCTGGCCTGGCACCATGCCTGGGGAGCTGGGAGTGTCCCTGGAGTCCCAGCACTCCAGAGTTTACCTTTGGGATGTAGTAGCCATCCACGTAGGTGTCCTCCGATGCCATTCTTGGCACATTGAAAGGGATAACGTTGCCTTTCCTCTGCACTTCGTGGATGACAGCGTTGGTGTAGTGCAGGTTGTTCCTGTCCTCCAGGGCTGGGGGCCGTGCCTGGCCGATGACCGCATCGATCTCGGCTTGCACCCGGCCTGGGGAAAGAGCAGCAATGAGCCCAGGGAAAAAACCCTTGGAACAATACGAGGTTATTGCTGTGCCTACCAAAGGACTTTTTATGAGTGTGGGGACACTCCCAACTAGTCCCTAACAAAGCTGTGAGGGATAAAAGCAAGGCAAAACACCTTTTTGTTAATTGTACCTTGAATTTCTGGGTGCGTGGCCATAAACAGCAAAGCCCAGCGGAGAGTTGAGGATGTGGTCTCAGTCCCAGCAAACATTAGGTCGAGTGAACAGGCTATGAGGTGTTCCTCCTGGAAGGTGTCACTGTCATGGTCCTTCAGGAGAAGGTGTGTTAGTGACACAGGAACAGTGAGGGTGTCCTGGCACCACACTGGGTCCAGACCACACCAAGGATTTTGGCAGGTGCTGCCGACCCCTCGCATCCCCATCCTGCTCATGTGTTGCCTGAACCTGATGTCTGTCCTGAGGCCACACAGGCAGCTCAGAGAATCTGCGTTAGTTTCCCATCCCTTCTGGTTTCTAAGCCCTACTCCAGGAGGTTTTTCTCCTCATTGCTGACCTTGGAGATCTCCAGCAGGTAGCTGTCGATGTAGTCCCGGCACTCTGAAGGGTTCCAGTCCTCCTTGTGTTTGTTGATCTGCTCTTGCATAAATTTTTTCAATAACCTCCAGTTTTTAAAAATGGTATGGTGGGCTCCAGGTAAGTACTTCATTATAGATGGGAAAGTGTTGTACAGCTTTGAACACAAAAGGAGAAAGGCAAATTGAATAAAGGACTTAAAAAATTCTTCTGACATCAAGACTTTAGCCTGTGATTGTACCTGCTGAATTTCTGGAGCTGGTGGAAACAGCTCAGCTCCAGAAGAGCAGAATTCTCATTATGGAGTACCTTGTGTGTTACCCACTGTTTCAGCAGGCAGGTTGGCAATCAGTGGACAAGAAAAGTGATTTTGGGTGGGAGAGAGCAGTGTGAGCACGGCACAACTTAAACAGAAGGAAGAAAGAAATGGCAGGCAAATCTACCCTGTGCAAAGGAATAGCGAATGACAGCTTTGGTGATGACAACAATGACTTTTAAGGTTGACTCCAGAGAAGAAACTATGGCCCTGGGCTGGTGGCAGGAGGGCTGTACCTGGCTTGTGACGGCTCCGTGGAGGACAGTCATTTCATACATCAGCTTCAGCATTCTTTGGAAATCCTCATCGTGGTATTCAAACCGATTGCCAAAGATGAGGGAGCAGATGACATTTGCAACAGCATTGGTGACTTTCAGCTGAGGGTTGAAAGGATTCCCTGGAGAAGAAAAAGATCAGTTCTCTTCCACTCTTCTCAGAAAATAAGAAAACACACGCCAGAGGTAAAGTAGTCAAGAAATATTGAGTGGCCCCTAATGGCCACTGTCCTATGTCAGTGCTTTCCTGGGGTGCCTGGCTGACCCCATGGGCTGACCAAGCTTGGCAGGACAACCACAGTAATCCTAGTTCAATCAGCTTATGGAGATGTTTGTTTATTTTGGAAAGCAAAGTCTGCAGGATGTAATTTGATTTCATTGGAAACATCATTTATGCACACAAGGTATTTCCCAGAAAGGAGTAGGATGAAGGTGGGCTGTGAATAACGCTCTGGGTGTTGCCTGGCTGCATTCCCCAGCCAGCTGGAAGGCAAAGCACCTGTAGGAAGGAGCAGGGATGCTGGCAGGGTTGTAGCATCACTTGCAAGGTGCGGTATTTTTCAGCATGCAGTGAAATTATGACAGGCCCTGCCAGTTCCTGCCTTCACAGCTGCTGAGGGCCATGGCACTCACCCTGTTCATCCCCAAACACATCCACAAGGCATTGGCACTCCTCTTGGATGCGCTCCTCCAGGCTCCTCTTCCCCAGGCCGAAATTTCGGAGCGTGGTCAGGGTGAACCTCCTCTGTGCCTTCCACAGGTGCCCGGTGGAGGAGATCAGTCCTGGCAGGAACACCCCCTGTGAGCCAGGGCTGGTCCCCCACTGAGGGAGAAAAGCTCCAGGGCCTTGCCTTGTCTCCAGCTGTCTCAGACCTCTGCAGAGTCAAGGCTTGGACCTTAGAGCTGAGGCACGTCTTGAGGGACAACTCACCAATCTTGCTGAAGATCTCCTCGTCTATGGGAATGTCAGGGCGGTCCAAGAACTTGTCCCCTTGGTTTATGAGCACTTCCTTCACCAGCCGCATCCCATTTACCATCACATACTTCATGCTGCCCATGTGTATGCCAAAGATGTCACCATATCTTTGACTTAGCTGGGGAGGGGGCATAAATAAAAGGGGTTTTCATGTGCACTGAATGTTCCTGGTGAGACCAGGACACTCCTGTCAGGGGACATGGGTAAAGATAAGGGAAAAGTGGGAGGGGAGGTAGAATGTGTGCACTCTGTCTGAGGGCACAGTCTTTTTTTTTCCCTCTTTTCCTGAATCAGTGATCAGGAGATGGTGTTAATTTGCCATAAATCAAGTAAACCTCATCAGGTTTGATTTTCAGTCCTATGTTATTCCAGCTTTTGTCTCACCCCATTCCAGCCCCCACTTGGACCTGCAGGGTTTGTACACCTTTGACTGCACCTGTGGGATTGTGCTGTGACCTTCACCCATGGAATCACCCTACCCTGCTTGTACTCAGGTAAATGTCACTGCTAAGGGCAAACCTCCTGCCTGCCTTCACTACCTGTGGGGTTTGGGTTATCCCTTTCCCTGCATGGCCAGGGATGTGTCGCTGCAATCCCTCTATCCCTTCCCCATGCTGCTCACCACCGACGTACCTTGCTCACTGTGACCGCAGGATCTTTGAAGTCTAAGAGGTAGATGTGCCCCAGAAAGGGAAGGCGGAAGGGGGTGGGAGGGAAATTCTTTGGATTTCTGTTCTTCATGTAGTCTGCGATGAGCAGGAAGATGAAGAGAAAGATGAGGAACGTCTGAAAGGAGATGCTGTCCCGGAGGAAGTTCAGCATGGCTGGATGGTGGGGCTCTGCAGGGACGTGTCCCACAGCAGGTCAGGCAGGTTGAGCTCACAGGGCACCACTGAGGCCCCCGGGGCCAGGGGGAGATGGGTGATGTGCTGGCACAGCTGTGGGTGCAAACACAGGACAGCACAGAGTGGCTTTTGCAGCCTGCTCTCAAGGCTACATTCAGACTCCTGCTTTCCCAGCTTTCAGAAAGGATTAAACCCCTTCTTGATTAAACTGAAACATTTCCTCTCATCTGATTTAAAACAAACCCACCATGAATCAGGACAGGCCCAGCCTCCCCTCAGTGCTTTACTAAACCCCAGCGTTCCATGCCCTTGTCTAAAGGACAGAAATGATCTTTGTAGGATCGAGATTCAAACCTGTTAGTTTCAGCATGCAGCTCCCACAAACCCATCTCTCAGGATGACTCTGCCCTCCTTCCCAGGTGCCCTCACCGTGCCAGGTCCCAGTTTCAGCTTCTCAGTGCCAGGGAGTCTCCAGCTGCTCCGAGAGCCTTGTGCTTCCCTTGTTTACAGCAGCTCGCTCCCTGGTATGAGGAGTCCTGGGCCAAGCCCCAGGTCTCAGGGGATATCTGAGATAAGGTTGCAAAACCTTTCACAATCATCTGACTAAGTTTCGTGTTTCCGTGTGTCTGGGTGACGTGGTCTGAAAGTAAACAGCTGTCCCGGAACTCAGTGGCTCCTAAGCACCAGCATTTTCTGATCTCTACCAGATGAGCGCAGGCAGAGCAGCTGGCCCTGGCCATTCCCTGAGCTCTCCAACCATCCCTTCCCACTTGCCTTGTCCTTTGGGTCATAGCCCACAGTGAAGCTGTTCCCAAAACCCCACAGAGCTGATGAAGGTGCTGAGAAGCTGATGCAGATGCTCAGCTCTGCAGGCTGAGGCCCTTTGGTGGGAGCTGGCAACAGAATGTGCCACATTGTCCCACCCAGGAGCAGCTCTGGGTTAGGGAGGTATTCATGCACATGGACCATGGGGAATTTTGATGTGTTTGTTGTGTTTTACTGTGAAAGAAGCATGGAGCAGCAGCACTTTGTCCTTGCATCACGTGGCTCTGTCACGGCCCCTTGCAGTCACCAGCTGCCACCTCCTGCTCTGGAGGACATTTTGGGTTCCTTTTCTCTCTTCTGGGGCCATCAGTTGTGGCTATTGGGATTGTCCAGTGCTGATAACAAGGCACAGAGGTGCAGCAGAGCCACTATAGTGATGCCATATAAATGTTCTCCACAACCTTACACTTGGGAAGCTGGAAGAGTTAAATATCTGTGGAATTTTGGAAGAGTTAAATATCTGTGGAATTTTAAGGAGAGAGGCCTGTTTTTGAGAATATCTCTTTTCAACTCTGGCTTTTAGGCACAGTTAGACATGAGTCCCTGGAGATGCATGTGTTCACCAGCAGTGACATGAGAAGGATCCACTTGAAAATTAAACAAATTCATGCCTCCTGCCTTTAAGGTATGGCACTATTGCATTTAATTTAAAAAAAAAAAAAAAAAAAAAAAAAAAAAAAAAAAAAAAAAAAAAAAAAAAAAAAAAAAAAAAAAAAGGAGAAAAAAGAAGATGCCTTCAATCATTTATTGTTTCCAGGAGTAGGGGAGGAAACCCCAAAGTAGTGAAGAAACACATGTTGGAAATTAATGAAAGAGAGATCGATATTTATTTGCTAAACCAGTACAAATAATAGAAGCTGTAGCCACAAGCCAAAGGTCAGGCCTACAAGTAGAAGGAACACAAAAATGAAGAGAAACCAGTGCTTGTCCCGAATGCCGTTGAATACTTCATAGGTGAATAAAAGTCCCTGTATCTTTGACGTTTTCTCTTTTACAAAGACAAAAACACAACATGGGAGCCTGTGACTGTGAAACAATAATTAAAAGCGCAATAGGATTACAGTGATCAGTGGGAAGGACAGCTCAGTGACAGAATCCCGTGTGCACGGCGTGGCAGGGATGTGATGTGCAGAGGACTCTCCCCTGTGGCACAAATCTGCCACTGCACAGGGATTTTCTTTTTTACTTTGCTTTGTACCGCAGCAAAGCCACTATTGCCGGGGACAGAGGAGAAAACCAGTGGAAATGAAACTCGATGTAATCCTCTTTTCCTGATAACTAGTCCATATCCTACGTGGGTACCCACAGAAAAGTCACATATGAAAGGTAAGAAGCAAAAGAAAACAAAAACAAGAAGAATAATCTTTGCTGTGACTATGGTCCAGACTGAAGCACGCAGGAGACAGCATTTCTAAGCACAAATGCTCGGTCACATAAATGGAAAAATTCTCTACAAGTTGCATATTTAATTAACTCTTATGCAAAGAGGCCTGGCATAGGAAGAAGCTGCATCCATCATGCAGGATGCCCTGTCCCAGCTGCTCCCTCAGCCCCCAGCTATGCCCATGCTGGTCACACACAGACACAAATCTTTGCCAGAAGCAGAGGGAAAGTGCCGAACTCGTGATTTCCCACCACAAAGCCACTGTTCCAACACTTCCTTCCTGAGGGCCAGCGCTGAGCCGCCGCAGACAGGACCCTTCCAACACCCTCTGCTGTTCCCTTTCTGCTGTGCTTCAGGTGAACTGCTCCCCACCAACCCATCATTTCAGCCCAACATTTCTGGGGTGGCCAGGAGAAGGGGAGTTCCCATCTTGTGAGGCTGCGGGGGGCTGTGGGGCAGCCCCAGGCCTGCCTCAGTGGCGGGGCACGGCGCAGAGCTGGAAGGGTTTGGGGCAGCGCGTGAGGCTGAGCGTGAAGGCGAAGGACAGCGCTGCTGGGGCCTGGAAGGTGAACTTCTGCAGCAGGGCCACAAAGAAGATGAAGAGCTCGGTCCTGGCGAGCTGCTCCCCGGGACAAGCCCTCTTGCCTGGAAAAGGAGCACAAATAACTCAACAGGGTCCCTAGTGAGCTCCAGCCAGCTCCAAGCCTCCTCTGGCCCGCGCCACCTTGCACAGGCTGCGGCAGCTTTTCTTCCCAGAAAGGTTAGGTGGCAATGTTCACCCACACAATCTGCTCAAACCTGCCCCAGAAGTTTACTGCCAAGCAAACTGTGCCTGTTCCGAGAGGCGAAGAGCAGAAACTGTCTGAACAACCCAGTTATATAACTTGTGCAAGAAGAAAAAGCCTTATTTTTCATTATTTTTTTAATCCTGCAGTAACAAACTGATTTCTTCCCTATCCGAGCAGCCTCCATTAACTGTGACTGGGATTTTCACTGTGGGAATGGGCTGGAAGGTGGGCAAGAGTGGTACCCCCTATTCTATAAGCAGTATCTTGGGGGAAAAAATAAAAGCTTTGCAAAAGGAAAAGCCTCCCCCCATCCATCATCCTACCTGCAGAGAAGGGCAGAAAAGCCTCCCGTCTCCTGTACAGGCCGTTTTCCAGGAAATGTTCAGGATTAAAGGTGTCTGGAGTCTCCCACACGTTTTTGTCGAACATCACTGAAGTCAGGCTGGTCATCAGGGTGGTGCCCTGCGAGAGGCGGAGAAAAGGCTGATAACCCGGCAGAGAGGACACGATGTGTTGTCAGACTGGGCTATTTTTAGTTCTGTAAACTACACAGTTTTAAGGGCAATACAGGCTTTTTTCCCCCCAAGCTATGTAATTAAATGAGGGTGAAATCCTGCAGGATTGTTCGCTCCTGTGTGCCTTTACAGATCACCGAGCATTGATCTGCATCCTGAGCTGCAGTAACAGGTGATGTTCACACAAACCAAGTTTAAATTGGTAGCACTGCATTCTCATAGGACCTTGAAGCAATTTAATCAAGTAATTTTCAATTGATTTGTTTAAATGTGGTTTTTAAAAATCGAATAAAACTGATCTGGTTTATCTCCACATTCTCCATCAGCAAGAGAAATATCCTAATCAATGTGGAGGAAAATGCCTGAATTTTTAAAATTTGCCTCATTGCAACCAGTCATATAGAGGGAAGAGTCCAGTTATATACAAATCCCATATTTGCTTTTGTAATTGCAGAACAGTGTGTGTGAAACAATACTCATTACTTATCTTTCATCAAGGGCTACTAATTTTCATAGATGATTATTAATATTGTGTGGATTTAACAAGCCCAAACTGTTTGCTTTCCTATATTTCCTCTATTCCTGTAATGTGTTGAAGGTGACTTTTACTAAATTTAAGGCATAAACCTTTTAAAATTGGAAATTACAGCCAACACTATGCAGATCTCACAATTCTCGTCAGTAAGGATGTAAGACCCATAACAGCCCTGCAGAATCCATCAGGAGGGCTTGTCTTTTCTAAATAATTTTGGTATTTCTATAAGATCCAGCTGGCTGGTTCCCCTCCAGGTGAGATTTGGGGCTTGGGCCGTGAAGACCCTGGTGTCAGGGAAGATAAAATAGGAAAGCCTTATAAATATGATTACCTGGCAAAAGATTTAGAAAATACAGATTTGAGATGAGAACAAGATTTGAGATACCAAACCTTAGTTAATGAACAACTAGAAAACAATAGTATAGCCAGATTGAAAGCAATCCCCTCTTTGGATTAAACAATGCCCTTTTACCTACAGATAGGTTCAAAAGTCAAATGGAATGTTCTGTTTCACCCCCCAATGTCTGGTTCATCCCACATCTGTAACCCTCCCCTGAAGCATCAGGTATCTGCAACCCCATTGGCCCAAGTCTTGTTCTGTGGGAATCCAGGGCTTCCCTCTGGCTGCTCTGGAAGGTCTGGGACCCTGGCAGGGGTCAGGAACCCCCCTGGACAGAGCCCCCAGAGACACTGGCTGTGATCTCTGGCCATGGAAAAGAGTTTTCAATCTTACAGGATGAATTACCAGCTCTGAGTGTTTCATATAAGTAATAATTAAATGTGGCACGGGTAAAAAAGTAAAATTTTAAGTTTCTAGATTAGGGGTTCAAAGGGGACAAGATGTAGGAAATTGAGTGTGCCTTGTCCTTTTTCTCCTTGTTCATGCCCTCCATGTTTCACTGCAGTGTTGGCATTTTTCTGTTGGTTCAGGCTGGGGACACACTGTCCAACGTAGGTGACAGATATTGGCACATTATTGTAAATCCAGCACAGGAAGTTTCTGGTATATAATGTTGGTAACATCCCACTGCTGGCTGGTTCCCCTCCAGGTGAGATTTGGGGCTTGGGCCGTGTAGACCCTGCTCTGATGGGATGAAGGCTGGTGAGATAAAGGTTAGTAGGGTGAAGGCTGTTGGGATGAAGGGCTGTGGGATGAAGGCCAGTGGTCCCACGCACTTTGGGCAGGTGAAAGCCGGCCAGGGTGGTGTCGCTGGTGGCCATGCGGGGCACCCCCAGGGGCACCACGTTGCCCACGCGCAGGACCTCGCTCAGCACGGCGCTGGTGTAGGGCATCTTCTCCTTGTCGGCCATCGAGGGCTGCCGGCACTGCCCAACCACGGCGTCGATCTCCTGCTGCACTTTCTCTACAGGGAGCAAAAGAAAATTCAAAATAGCCCTCTGCATAGAATTTTTAGGGTTAGAGAAGCCCGCTTAAATGATCAAGTCCAACCATTAAACCAGCACTGCCAGGCTACTACCAACCCATGTCCCCGAGTGCCACATCCACACTCCTTTTGAACATTCCAGGATGATTGCACCGCTCCCCTGGGCAGACTGTTCCAGGGCTGGACAACCTTTTTAGTGAAGAAATTTTCCCTAATATCCTATATAAACCTCTCCTGGCACAACCTGAGGCCATTTCCCCTTGTCCTCTCACGTATTCCTTGGGAGAAGAGACCAACCCCCGACTGGTTGCACCCTCCTTTCAGGGACTTGTCAAGCACAGGAACGTCCCCACCCCGAGCTTCCTTTTTCTGGGCTAAACAGTCCCAGTTCCCTCAATGGTTTCTCCTAAGACTTGTCTTCAAAAGGTTCCCAAGAGGATAGCTGGGGCACAGGCATGTCCTGTGCAGATGTGGCAGAGCTGGGATAACTCTGTTCCCTGAGGCTCCCTTACCTAATTTGGGCTAAGCAAAGGACCCCTCGGTGGCCCTACCCTGAATGTGGGGGTACGCGGCCATGTAGAGCAGAGCCCAGCGGATGGCGGTCGCCGTTGTCTCAGTCCCCGTTAAGAACAGGTCCAAGGTGCAGCACAGCAGGTTTTCCTCATGGAAATAGGAGCTGGTGTCACCCTTAAACTTGGAGGAAAAACATGGCAATGAAAACTCTCACTCTGGAGGGAATGCTTTTAAAACCCAATCCAAAACCACCTGTGTGTAACTGAAGTCCTACTGCTCCTTTATTACCTACATCTGGACTTGAAAATTTACTTGGCCTTTAGTTTCACAATGAATTTCAAGCTATGGGACTGTTTTGAAAGACACCCTGGTTGCTCTAGAGTGGCTCTTGAAAGCAGGTAGCATTTTTAAATGTCAAGTTTCACAATAGCAAACACAGGAGTGTGAGTGCTCACAGAAACATGAACATGTTCCCTGAGAGTCCTCCTATGCCACGAAACAGAATGAAAAACGGAAGAAGACAAAGTGTAAATCCTTTCAAATGAAAAAAAAAAAAAAATCTGTGTGTGTTCTATGTGATCAGGCATCTGCTGCTGCTAAAGTTTGATGTGACAGAGGTAGGGAGGGAAAGGAAACGTGTGAGGCAAGAGCTCCCCTGACAAAGCAGCCCTGAATCTTCTCTGCTCATTCTATGGCTAGATCTTTATTTACTTCCTACCTTTTCTATTTCCTTCAGGTAACAGTCAATATAATCTCCTGCCTCGGACTGGTCTAAATCCTCCTTGTGCTTTGCAATCACTTCTTTCACAAAATATTGAAGTTTCTCCCAGTGCCTGAAGATTTTCCTGAAGGGCCCTGGCAACCATCTCATGATCCAAGGAAAAGCATTATAGAGCTGGTAAGAAATCAAACAGAGCAAAAGAGCATTTTTTGAGTTAGAAAAGAGCAGGTATCATAGTTGAGAGGATAAGACTCTCAATTAATTTATTAACTCTGCTTGCTATCATGAAAAAAATCATCCTTGCTATAACAGTCCAAATTTACTTACACAGGTGTGAACATGTGCAAATTAGATAAGAATTGGACTACTGAAAAAGTTTTCAAATACTGAGTGACCAAAGTTGCCCCCTGTTGTGAGGTGGCCACAGGTGAGGTGGATGCAGATGAGCCCCGTAGTGTGTCCCCATAGAGGGCACAGAGATTGGACCATGGTGTGTGGCCATGCAGAAAATTCATCACCAAATCCACCTGCTTTGTTTCTTAACCTGGAATCTCAATTTTTTTTTTTTTTTTCATAGATAGAAGTTATTTAAGAAACTGGTTGGGATATGGGTGTGGGAAAAGACAGGAACTTTCACAGTGTTACTAGTTCTTCTTTATGTAGAAACAGATTCCTTTAAGGTTTTTGTGTTGTTCTTTGGTTGTATCAGGCAGAAGATTGGTTTCAAAATCCTGTAGTGTTTTTTTATTCTCCATTTCATCCCATTAATTTTAACTTACTTCCTTGCTTTCCTGATAGACTTTATGTATAAGTCCAATCTAATATAAAGCAATTCTCCCGGACATTTTCCTTTAAACATGGCTCTTTTTCTACAGGAAAATGCAGATTACACCAGTGACTTAGAAATCCCAGTTTCTGAGCTGTCACATTCAGCTGAAGCTGGAAAAACATCCAAGTGGCTTTACCTGGCCCCAGAAACTTCCAATGAGCAGCAGTGTTTCAGCCAGGGAGTGCAGCAGTTCCTGGAAACGGTTGTCATGGTAGTCAAAGCGGTTCCCAAAAGTTATGGAACAGATGATGTTCGAAACAGCACTATTAATTTTGTAATGAGGGTCAAAGGGTTGTCCTGGAAGAAAGAAAAGGAAAGAAAACTGCCTGAAGGGAGGTTGTGGCCAGGTGGGGGTTGGTATTGTCTCCCATGGAGCAAGGGATAAGAGGAAACAGCCACAAGTTGGGGTGAGACCTGCTTCTCACCCATGGTGGTGCTCAGGTTTCACCCCATCTTCTGGGGTACCCACCACCCCCATCACCTCCAGCATCCCACTGGAACCTGGGTCCTGTGGGCCAGGACATCCCATCCTGTGTCCAGCCCAGGCTGCTGGCAGGCAGTGGCGCTAGCACTGAGTTGCCCAAGCAGGGTCTGAAGCTGTTTCCAGGGAAAACAACCAGCAGCAAGCCATGCTCTGGCTGTCAACTTGGCCCACTCCAGCCGGTGTTTGGTGCCAATTTGAAACACCAGGAGAGGGTTCCTTTAAAGCTTTGCCCAGGGCTGGGAGACCAGGAAAACTGCACTGGAAAAAAAACCATTGCCCTGGGCTTTAGTTGTCCGGCATGAAGAAATGAAGGGAGCTGAAGGACAGAGAGAGGAGGGCTGCAGATCTCTGTGCCCACCTGTAAACCCCAGCAATAGCTCATGCGGTCCATAGAGCTCATTTATCAAGTGACGTGTGATGTGATGCTTGTCACATCTGTGTTCCCTGAGAGAGCTACTGAGCAGAGACCTTCCTCTCCTTGGGCACATTTCAGCAGCCACTGAGGAAAGCCACTTGCTATGACAAGAGACTGATCTCAGCGACAAACCCAGTCCAGCCCTGAGAGGCTGTTGAAGATCACTTTGAAATGCAAGGCACTCCTCCCAGCACTGCTGATCTCTCCACTCTTCAAGAAAGTAATTAAACTGGGCTGGTGCTCAGATATTAGAGTGATGGACGTGATCACTATTTGTCATTACTAATGGGAAGAAAGGCCCAAACCAGCAGCTTAATTAGTTTATTGATTAGGACTATAGAAGACTATAATCAATTGGCAACATGGAGTATTTGGCCTGTTCAGTGCAACAGCAATTAAAATGGAGCAAGTTTAGTATATAATTTCACAATTCCTTTTTAGGTCTTTCTTGCTTACTATATATAGCTCCATAGAATTAGCTCAACCCCATCTGCTTCTATTTAAAGCTGAAGTGCAACATCACCCATGTACCAACATACAAATTATTCTTACAAATATCCCTCTGGCAGTTTTGAAAAGCTGGACCATAAAAGAGCAAGGCACACGCTTCATCTGTGTGTGATACAAAAGGAAAGCCTGACTAAACAAGTTTTAAAATACTTTGCAAAGCCAAGGACAAGCAGAGGTTAACTAAGCCTCTGAGTGGTAGTGTTTGATAGCAGGAGAGCTGCGTTTATTCCTTTGCAGAATGCACAAGACACTTCCTTAGCCATGTAAACACTCATGTTTTAATAACCACCTGGTATATATTTGCTTAATATTTATAAGGAACAGCTAAAATAGGAGTCCTGAGGTCTACAATAAGTGCTAAAAGGCACAGTCTGGAAGTGTAAGATAGAGATTAGAACTATTGAAGAAATGTTTTGTACGTTTGTGGCTGTGCTGGCTTAAGAGTTTTACTTCTCATCATTCATTTAGCTGGAAGCTCTGAGCACAGTGCTGTGCATTAACCCCCACCTTTCTCCTCCTCAATTGTCTCCACGAGGTACCGACTCTCCTCTTGCACTTTTTCCTCAAAATTTACAGCAAGGCTTTTCAGTGTTGCTGAAGCAAACTTTCTCTGCTGCCTCCATATGTGCCCGTTGGATGATATGAGCCCTGTAGGTGGAAAAAACAGGTGAACAATCCTCTCTCTGGGTTATTTGTGAGTGTTAGGATTCTGAAACGGCCATTCATCATGGACAAAAACCCCAAACCAAAGCAAACAAAGCTCGTGGATGTGGAAAAGGCTATGGCTTTTCCTGGGAATTAAAATTCAAGAGCAATTGGCTTATGCTAAAGATCTAACTTTATGGATTTGCTTTAATCTGCAACTTTGTCACTTTGCGTGGGGAAAAAAAGGTGTAAGCCAAAATACTCTGAGTACTATCACGCTGTTGGCAGAGCTGCAGGCAGGAGCACCCCGTCTCTGGAGCTCTGTGCAACCCAGGCAGGAAAAGTAAAGGAGAAATGAAAACCAAGGGGAAATGCTGCAAGTGTATGGATCTTTAGAGAGCTTGCATTTATATCTCCTCTTTCATTAAGCTCTGGTTTTGAGCCCGTCCTCATCCCTAAATTGCACAGAGATTAAAACATACCCCTCTGAGATTATGAGTATTCTAGCCTTGACCTGTGCAGGCTTTCACAGGTGCAGCTCACAAGGGTTGAATTCAACCCGTTTCTTTCCCACTAACAGTTATCATTGCAAAGAGATGAAAGTTTTCCCCAGAATCCTGATAGCTGTGCTTACCAAAGCCTCTAAATATTTCTTGGAGGAGTGGAATATTTGGCCGATCAGCAAATGTTTCAGCCTGGTGGACAAGAGCTTCTCTCACCATCTGGTACCCGTTGACCACCACGAATGTCAGACTTCCAAACTGCACGCTGAAGATGTTCCCATACTGACCCGTAAGCTGAAAGAGAGCCCATTGTCCTCTGAGAACAAGAAGATGAGGATTTTCAAAACTCACCAGGCCAAGACCTTGAACAGGGAAATCTGACTTTGAATTTAACCCTGCCTGAATGAAAGGGACTTGAGAGAAACCCAAACCCAAGTGTGCAGGTCCCATCCAATCTCATCTACTCCATGAAGGTTGGAGAAGGCGTAAGAAGGGCTGGAGAGCTGTAGTTTGGCAGAGATGGATTGCTTCTATTTGTTATCTAGTGTGACCTGGGCTGGACCAGGTGTTTACATCAGTTTGGCTTGTAACAAGGATGTAATGTGCTCTGTAACTGATGGGCATCTGCTCTGTCCCTTTCTGTCCCACCACCTGGGTCACCACACTCAGGCTCTTCCTGCTGAGGAAGACAAATTGTCCCTTTCATCAAGTTTTTGTCTAGAGTAGTGTGGTTTCTTCTCCAGCTCTCCCATTTAGACAGGAGCTCTAACTGCTTATTGCTAGACACGTACTTCCAATTTTAAGCCTGACTGCATTTATGGCCAAATTGCAGCCATTTTCCTTGCATGGACTTTGCTGGCATTAGTGTCTCCTCTGAGATGTATAAGGGTAAAAGGGGGGATCATATCTTCTCTCTGTCAAGGAGCTCATCCTCTTCTTAGAATGAATCTACATGGAAGGACACACAGGGTCACTCCAAACTGCTGTGGTGACTCATGAAACCAGCCTGGGACCAAATGGGTGTCTCAAGTCATTATGTGCTTCTAAATAAATGGGGTTAATTTTCATAACAACTATGTATTGACAAATTATCCTAAATTCGGTGCCTCAGCCTTCCCTGAGGATTCCCTCAGGGACCACCCATGCTGGAGGCCTGAGGGCATCCAGGGTAGACAGGCTGGTGTCAGTCTGATGCAAAAGCAAGAGACAAAGAGTCACCAGAAAGGATTTTTGCAGTCAGCATGCCAGAACTTCTTCCACCTTTTCAGAGAGGAGTACTTAGCATGTATAAAATCTCTCTTTTTGTCTCTGGTGGGAGCCAAAGATGTGGAAACCTTTTCTGTGAGATCACTGCCTCTTTCTGCAACACAGAAGAAGCCACAGGACATAACTCAGGATTTTAAATGTTTCTTTCAGATGTGATGGGGTGAGTTGTTGGCCTCTGAGCAAAGACAATGACAGGACAATTTTCAGAGGTGATCTCCAAACAGTTCAGCTGTCACACAGCACTTTTCACCTGTCCCCCAGCCTGGCCCAGCCCTTCTGAGTCCTTTCTGGGGTCCAGAAGGAAATGGTCACAGTCAGATGGGAAGAGAAAGGAGGAACATATAGGTCTTGCTCCATGATGGATTTCTTTCCCATTGGACCATCCTACTCCCCTGGAAAAGGAGGTGATAGTGAGAGATAAAAGCAAGAAGGGTCATCTATCTCATGTGGTTATTATACACCCAGCTCTGCAGAGGCTGCTCTTGCTGCTCCTCAGTGTGGTGGCAAGAGTCATGGAAGGGAAAGATATTGTTAGTAGGGAAAATGTCCATGGAGCTCTTACCTTCTGCAGTGCAAGATGGAGAGGCTGCTGAAAGTCCACAAAGGTTCCCACGAGAGGAAAGAGCTGCGGCCCTGGAGGGAAATTCCTGGGTCGTCTCTTTCTCACTAGGTCAATAATCAAAAGCGATATGACCAGAACCACCAGGACCATCCAACTGTTCAGCTTTTTCAAGAGAGGCACCAAATCAGGCCAAAACTGAAGCTCCATCTTGGCTGATGTACTCACAGGTTCTCATCCCAGGAAGGGACTTGATTCTGGTGTTACATTTGCTAAAAGAGGAGTAAGCAACGACTGGGGAAGAAACAAAAAAAGCTAAAATGCTGATAGCTGAATGGAAGCTGCTTTTCCATACACAGCTTCTGCCAGACCACCTGCTGAATAACTAACTTTAAACAGCAGGATCTCCAAAAACAACCCTGAAACCTCACAACGTTTGGCCAAGCAAAAGCAATCTTGCAAAACTTTTAACTTTACGTCTCTGTCAACTCCCTAATTTTCTTATGGAAGAGCATTCCTCCCTTTTGCCCTGAACAAGGAGCTCCTTTATATGGACACCCCACTGGGATTATCAGCAGAGCAAACATTTGAGGTGAGGTGAAAGCAGCTTATGGGGCCGATCACATGTGGTGGGCGTCGCGTAGTTTCAGGGATGGTGAGGCATCTGAGGTGATGGACACCACACAAGTGGCTGAGGGGCTGATCCTGTTAAGTGCTAAGCACCATCTGCATGGGCTGGGTGCCTTCAGTGCCCACCAAAGCCTTCCTGGCTTTGCTGGAGCTGTCAGGGGAGCTTCAGACAAGGGAAGAAGTGCAGGGGCCCAGGGCTCTCCCAGCCACAGAGATGAGAGTTAAAGGAGCTTAATTTCAAGAGTGAGAACATAGGCTCCTGTGCTTGCCATGGGATTGGAACTTATGCATTTAAATCTCCTGGGTTTTCCAAAAATCTCCTTTGAATAAAGCTTCACACTGTCCTGGGAGAAGGCTTCTGTGGACTGACAGTGACCTCTATGACTTGGAATGAATCTTGTGTCACCTGCTGATATTTAGCTACAACTTTGTCCCAGCTCTGTCTTTCTTTCTTTTTATTTTTTTCTCCTTTTACAAAGAATCTAAATTTGTACTAAAGCAAAACTATAAAGAATGAGTTTTCAAACTAATTGCCTAGAACTTAATGTGAGAAATTCTGAAGGATGGTCAGTTTTTACTGCCACGGAATCTTAATGATGGTTTGGGTTGAATGGGAATTTAATATGAAAAATTCTGAAGGATGGTCATTTTTTACTGCCATAGAATCCTATGATGGTTGGGGTTGAATGGGAACTTAAAGATCCTCTGATTCCAACCTCCTGCCATGGGCAGGGATGCTGTGTCTTCAGCTTTAAGAAAGCTTTAATTTTTAAGGACAAAGTAGTGCAGCTTTTCATAAGAAACAATAATTGGAAAATAATTCTGGTATTCTCTGGTCTTTAACCATTTTAAAAAGCTTTGCTGTCCCTGTCTTTCATTTTCTTAGAAGCAGGCTATCTGACAGACCTGCACCTTGGCTATGGCAGGAGTCTCTTTTAGGGGAAAAAGTTAGCTGCAACCCAACCCTTCTTGCTTTGAAATATTATTTACAGCTTCCTGGATGGGATAAGGCAGGAAACGGGGAACAGCAATGGGAGAAACATCTCACATCCCTTGTGTATAAAGCACATTTTGCATGTCCCCATAGCACAGCTGTGAACAGCAGTGTTTGGATGTGCTTTGCTTCTCCTCATGCCGGCGCACCCACGGTGCTCCTGCACCGTTTGCATCCACGCGCTTCTTCCAGCCTTCCTGCTGTGGCAAGCCAAGCCTGGCTTACCAGAGGCTAAATCAGGATAGCAGGCTCGTGCTCCTCATCCTGGCACCAGGGAGATGACTCGGTTGGTGGAGGTGTCAGCCTACAGCATGCTCAGAGGGACTGTGATGATAAGGCGTCAACTTCTGCTAGCCCAGTTTCACTCCTCTGTTCCTCGCTGTGCCATATGATTTGTCAGCATGCACAGAGTGCAGATCCCTCTACCACTTGTGGCTGCTGTGAATCGGGCTACGTGCAAAGCCAAGGTGTTAATGTGTTCTTCTGGGTGGTGTTGTGGGGGTGGGTGCATCGTGGTTGACAGGAGAAATGTTATTTTTAGCAGGAGGAGCACATTCTGCATGTACTCACATGTGTCTTGTCAGTCAGAAACCTCAAGTCTATTCCTTTGCCTTGAGGCTTCACATGTCCAAATGCATCCCCTCACAAAGTTCTGAACACACCAGATTTACAAAGAATTATGGAAGAGCCTTCCAGTATTACCAGGGCTCTCCTAACCTTGGCAGACAATAACACCAGCATGTTATCAAACTGTGGCAATTCTATTTTGGGTCCCAGACTTTAATCAACCCAGTTCTCAGCACATGGTGATGTGCAAATCCCCAAAGCACTGAGGAAGTCATGTCACCGTGGCACGTGGGCAGTGCAAAGGTTGTTGGACAATGCCAGTCTCTGCAGTGTTGACAAGATCCTTTTCCGTAAGATCCTGGTCATCTGCAGGATGAACCTGTTCCTCTGGCCAGCACCATGAATGCTGCAACACTGGTCTTCTGCAGATCAAAAGAACACAAATTTGAATTCATAAGAGGATGTGCACCCACACATCTAGTAGAGAACAGGATGTAGACCCACCTTCCCCCAGTTTCTCCTCAAATACTTCCCCTGATGCCAGTATGCAGCTCACCTGAGCTCAAGGATACCACATAGATAAATTGTGCCATATTGCATGGACACAGACACATCACTGCCTGAATATTAAGGCATCTTGAACAGCCAAGAGACAGAAATTGGCCCATATGCTTTGTACCTTCTTCCCTGGCTAGATGTCTAACTGTGTGCAGAAGGTTTTGAAACACAAAGAGAAACATTCTGTTAAAAATGCAATTACCATTTGTTTTTCAAGATATAGTATCCCATTATTTTTTCCAGAGAAGTGAAATTCAATAAGGTTACAACAGAATGTAGTCCAACAGTTACCGTACTTTCAGAGCATTATTTAAGCTACAGAATTTCTTAATGATTAGAAGCATATGTAGGAAAAATCACATGCAAAATGAGAATGACTGGAGACAATTTTCCCCCAAAACACGTTTTTTCAAGCAAGTAACAGCTCATCCACCACTGTTCTTCCATCCATCACGCTGGAGGTGTGAGACTCCCATCCACCCAGGGAGCTGCGAGCTCAGGTCATGTCAACAAACAGGCTCAGCAAAGTCTGAGGACCCATCCTGATTTCCAGCAAGAAATATTTTGCTGTTTCTCTCCTCTTCATGTCAGACCCAAGGAAGTGAGGCCGTTTTCACCATGGGCAAGCTCTTGAGCAGCAGCGACCACCCTGATGTCTGTCTTAATGCCACATCCTAGGAGGTTTTCATGCAGGTGCAGCTGCTCTTTCATGGTCCAGCACAGGTGAGTCTTCATGAACCTGAAGTCAGTGACAGATTAGGACACTCATTTCCTTTCAGGATTTACTTTACTGGATCAAATGAAATCTACAGGGGATTTGTAATTTCAGAAAGCCAAGAATGGAGAGTGCTGGAGCACCGAAAACTCCTGGGGTAAACTCAGGAAAGACATGGTTGACCTCACTATTTAGGCTGAAGTTCTGGGGTGATATCACTGGGACATAAGGGCTCCCATATATCCCAGACTTTGTCTTCAATGACCTGAATCAGGAAGCCAAGTCCATATTTACTGCTCTGTGTGTGTGGTGAATACTGAAGTGCTGCCAATTTTGCATCCTCTCTCTCTCCTCCCTCACCCAGACGAGGTGCAAGTAATGTCTAGATTTTCCTGGGACCATAGACCTCTCGCCTGTAACCTCCCAGCCACAACATTCCCAGTGCTCATTAAAGCTCCAAGTCAGGGATCTGTCACCAGGAATGGGCAAACTGAGGCATTACGAGCCTAAACCAAGTGGTATGAGCAGATCTACAGTGTCTGTGCCATCTGGGAAGAATCCCAGAAGATGGGATGCTCAGTCCCCTTCTGTTAGAGTCCAAAATGTCCCTTTTCTGCTGTAGAAGCCAGTTGTGAAGGGATTACACTCAGACTTCAGCCAGATAATTAAATGCAGTTAGCAGAAAGTGCTGCAGGGAGCCCTCCCTGTACCCCCTGACCCTGGATCACCCTTGGCTTTTTGGTCCAAGATTTTATTCCCTTCTCAGCGGAGAGCTGCGCCGCGTTGGCAGCGCCGCGCCGCAGCACATCCCGTCCGGATGCACCGAGTCAGATCTGGGGGTGCCGGGCGCTTCCCCCCGCGGCAGCGCCAGAGGCAGCGCCCACCCTCCCCTGGCACGGCGCTCCCACCGTCTGCCGCAGCCCGGGCTGTTCCGCAGCTCCCCGCAAACCTCGGGAAAGCTCTCCCGTCTGAGGCGCACCTTTTCAGTATTCACAGAGAAGAGTACAGTCACATATTCCTCTCAAAGCCACAAGGACTTGACTAGAGCTAAAATGTCATTTATGTACATATCACAAGCGTTTTTCTAGGCACAGATGTCTTTCTGGTGCCAATATGCTGTTTATGTACTTATCTGTCACAAGCACATGTCTACATACATATGCCCTGCTGGCAGAGGCACAGAGCATTTTGAAACTCTTATTAGACTGCTAATGAATAATACGCATACAAAGGAGAAAACAGAAGGTGGGTCTATCAGGAACAGCCTCTTTCTTAACTACCTTTTAATTGTAGGAGAGGAAGAAAAGAGATGAATTTTGATATGTTGGCATCTGTGAAGGCCTGCTTAGCAGCATCCAACGCCATCATTTTAAAAGTGGATTTTTCACAGGTTTGGGTATTTTGGGGGGAGGGGAGGATTTTTTTTTTTTTTTCCTCTTAAAAAAAACCCACAAAATTTTGACACTGAGAGTATTGCAAATCCTGGTGCCAATGATGTATGATAGTGTGATTGTCACCATGGAATGCTGAAAAGCTCGAGCAGCTGTTTGGCATATTGACAGTGCGAATTTAGAGCGTTTTAAATGCAAATGACAGTATTCAATTGATCGCAGGAAAACAATGGGTCATAGCCTTACCTTTCCTTGGCTATGCTCTGAATAATCAGGCTTCAAATCCATGCACAATAGGGATATTGTACACATTCTGGGGATTTTGTTCCCCTCGTTCATGGGGGCCGATATGATGCTTCTTTAGGGCAGAGCTGAAATAGAGGTGCTGCTGAACCATCCCAGGCACCTCGCAGGGGTGAGGTGGGGAAAAGGGCATAATTTGCTCCAAATCCACCACGTCCTAAGTGTCAGCCTGTTTTTCTTCACTTCTATCCTTTTCTACTTGCTCTTTAATCATTCCCAAGGGTGGCTGGCTTTCTGCCTGACTTGTCTCCATTATACCCTGCTGCAATCAATATGGCAAGCAGAAATCAGCAGGAGAAGGCATGTTCTGCTCCCAGTGAGAGCCGGTGGGAGGGAAGGAGATCAGGCCAGCCAGCTGCAACCCCAGCCTGGCAGGCGAGCCGAAATCCAGCCGAAAAAAGCTGCCGCCAGACGGCTGGGTCCTGTTTCCTTCGTGGTGCCCCCTGCCCGGCAGCGAGCAGCAGGTAAAGGTCTTCCCCCTTCCCCCAGCCCCTGGGAGGGCAGGCAGGAAAGTAAAATTTACCCTGAAAGCCTTTCTTTTTTTAAATTTTATTTTTTTTTTAATTTTTTAATTTTTTTTTTTTTTTTGGCAATGGTGAAAAGAAAAAGAAGGGTCTCTCCAAAGCAGAAAAGTCCAGGAATGGGGGAACCACACTTTCACCTGAGGAGGTCTGTTACATGTGAACACTGGTGAGTGCTTGTTGGGTTCACTGTGGCTCAGGTCTCTAAGACTGGCCAGGATAGATTGAAGGCAGCTACTGCCACTCTTGAGTACCTATAGCAATATATTTTTGGTTTTAAGACCCACATTTCTTTGAAAACACGTTAAAAACACATGCAGGAGTGGTGTGGATGAGGACATCACCAAGGCAGTGCTCTCTGCCCATGGCTTTACTTACCATGTACATATATGACATCTCCCTCCGATAATTTTAACTTGGTGATTTTCTTCCCTTTCCCTAGTTTGTAAGTCTGAACTGGATATTCAAGATCCTTTCCCTCAGTGCAATCCCTTGATTGCATCTACATTTTACCAGTGAGCAGAGCTTTTCTGTCTCCAGTGCTTCCATCTACCCTTCTGATGTTTCAATCTTAAGTACTTTGGGTCAAGTACTGACTTTTGGGTCTCCTTGATCCAGGGGTTGTGTGCTCTGGGACATTTCTGAGTGTTTCTGCAATACAACCACTGTACAAGCAGCATCACAGTTGCCAGAGCAGTTGCTGAGATGCCTGCAAGATATCCATGATCAGATTTGCACCTGGGATCAGGAGGGTGAGTGGAACATCATAAATGGCTGATGCTCTTGTGCTGTCTGCATATGAGATCCATGTTGTGGGCTCCTTGCACCAGAAATTGGCTTCTCCAGGGACTCAGACAATTACAAAAAGTTATATTTTATAAAGGGGAGGTTCATGAAGAGCTGGGGTTGGAGAACACATGGTTAATGTCATCCATTTATGGAGTCTTGTTAGAAGGCTCCACAAGTTTTTCAGGCTTTCCCAATTTTACCCAGCAGTCCTAGATGTCCATTCTACCTAGGTACAAAAATCAAGGGACCGTACAAGCTAAATGACACCTATTTCAGCATGGAGCCCTTCAGTCTCTGATGGAAGGCAATGAATAAAAAAACCCAGCATCATTATTACCTATGCCTTCCTAAGATAAATCTGTTTACCTGTAAAACAGATGCGTTAAAAACCAATCAGCCAATAGAAATAATTAGTTACAGGGTAGGCATGTGATTTGCTCAGCCTCTGGAACGGGGTAATGTCTTGCTTAGCTTGAACTCCTTCCTGATGGATGCTTGGTGAAAGGTCTTGGAGACAATGTACTCAGCTAAACGCTGGGGAGACAGAAAATTATTACTACAGAGACATTGCTCAAGTCAGCTCTGCAAGAAATTCATCACCAGCACCATTGGCACCACACATGAGCAGCAGCGTATGGAAACTGAACTGTAAAAAGTAACAAAATCAGTGAACTAAGGGAACACTGCATACCGTGAACGTGAGGGAATGCATCGTTTCCCAGAGGGAGGAACGTTCCTATTTAGCGGGCTTTTGTTTTGCTACAGGAAACACTTGGATGGAGGGATTTAGCTGTGAACACAGAGCCTTTGTTTTCTGGGAACAAAGGGAACCCAAGCGACACAGGTTGGTAATGGGTAAACTTGCTATGCTGAGCTGGTAGGTGAAGCCTTGGGCTTGCTATAAAACACACAGGACCAGCTTCTTGTGCCTAAAATCCCGTGGCCCAAAACAGCAGCCAGTGCAGGTGAATTTATAGCTCGTGTCTGCTTAGTGGCCACAAGCCCACCCTAAAATAAACCCAAGACCAAGAGGAGGGGCTGCTGCAGAAGGCTGCTGCCTCCTCCCCAACGTGAGCAAGATGCTCTTGATAAACCTTTAAAAGACATCAATGCTGTCTGTAGTCTGGAATGCCAGTGCTGTGAGTCCTCCTGGGAAAATCCTCCTGCGTGGAAACTGGAACTGGATTCTCCTCTGCCCCAAAGGCTTCCTGTGATCCCTTTTACCTGAAAGGTGGAGCACAGCGATCTTCCAAGGCTCACAAACACCCAGCAATTTAACAAAGGCCCTCGTTGTTTACAAGCAGCTTGGCTCATCTGGAACGAGAGAGAAGATGCCTTGACTTCAGCGAAATGAAGGGATTGATCTCATCCTACCAGAAGGAGAAGGGCAACAATAAAACAATTCCACAAGCGTCCCTTGTGATGACAAGACCAGTAGAATTTTTCCAATCCTGCTGGCAAATGGTAGAAGGCAGAAGTCTTGTGGAGACAGAAGGAATAAAAACAAAATGTCTTGCAGAGGCTAGAAAACTTTCCCAAAGCATTTTTCTTTAAACTTAAGCACATGATTTACGAGCTTATTATTAGTTTCCCCCCTTCCTTACATAAAAAGAGAAATTTAAAAAGTGTAGATTAACACATTTTTGGATATTTTCCAAACTCTCAATTCCTCTACTTAAAGGATTATTTTGACAAATCAAAAATCACTTTTTGGGTGGCCTGTAGAGACGCAGATTTGCTCTTTCTCTGTAGCATAAATGATCCCTTCTCAGACGGTGCTACTTGTGCTTCTCAGACAAATCACAGATAGAAATCAAATCCAGCTTCTGATCTAATTGTAATACAGTATTGCCTGCTGATTCCAGGAAATTTTTTCCAGATTGGTCAGGCTGAGGAATGCTTTAGGTACCTTAATCTCTACCTAGTCACTACTCAGGAGATACTAGAGGTTCTTCAGTGAAAGCAGAGCCTTGAGAGCTGCTACAAGACCATATTCACCTGGCTTATGAGAGCAGAAAATGCTCCTGAGCAGGTACAGACTGACATTGTAGGGGAAGGCACAAGGGTTGGGCTGTCTGCTGGAACTCCCTGGTGTCACTCACCCTTGTGGCACCCAGCTGGACACAAGAATGCCACATCCATTGGGATATGCTGGCTTTCTCACTGGGATGTGGCTGCAGCTCATGGTCTGGCCCTGCCAAAGTGATCACCCTGCACCTGGCAAGAATTCCTGGTGGCCTCAAAGAGTAATGAGCTCATTGAAGATCAAAATGCATATTGGAAAGGTAAGTGGATTAGCCAAAAAAGTGCCCAGAGAACTTCAGAGAGGCAGTTTAGGAACAAACCAAACCACTGTGAAAGAAACAATTGTCCTGAAATAGAAAAAAGAGTTATATATATGTATATATTCAAAGGCAATCTTTGAATAAAAAGAGTTATATATATGTATATATTTAAAGGCAATCTTTATAGACAGGTTGAACATGATTATGAGGCTGGAGGAACAGATGGGAAAATGGAACAAACAGATGGAAAAACTCTATTTCTGAAAAAAAATTATCTATTTGTAAAGCTATAGCTACTTGGAATGAATGTTTCAAGGTTAGGAAGCTGAGGCATCAGGAAATTTATAACAAGGCCATAAATTCATCCATCTGAGATGAGGATGGCAGGTCTTTTAGACAGGTAAGGTGCTTCCCAAACAGCCATGTACATTATTTATCCATACTTATTGCCACCATCCTCAGGGATACCTTGCTCCCCTTTAAGGCTATATCACTCAGTCTACAGTTAAAAATTACCTTTCAGCTTTTCATTAACCATAGCTGGCTAATATATTAAAATAAAAGGAGCAAGTTCACCTTGCTTTCTGCTATCTAATCACAGGGGGGGAAAAGGGCCTGAGCCCACCAGCACTGTTAGAAAAGTCTTACAGACAAGATGGGGAGAAGAAGTGAACACCATGGCTCAGCTCTCCAACTTGATGGTGAAGTAAAGGCATCTTCATTAAATGCCTCCTACCCACCCAGCTGTTCTTGAACAGCCCTCTGAGTAATTTTAGAGAGGATGATCAAGAGAAAAAGTGGGAGGAAAGGTTTGATGTTACACTGACTCCAGGGGGGAAACTTCTCTTGCAGCAACCAAGCTTCTAAGCTTGGGGTGAAACAGCCTTGCAGGGAAATGTGTGTCTTGTGTTTTAGTTAAAGAACCACCACCTGCAGAGACAAGTCCAGCCCAAGCTTCACATGCTGTTCTTTGCTGAAGAAGGGTGAGATACTTACATAAAAAAAAATTTCCAGCCAGGGACCAGATGTGCAGAAACTCTCCCTGGAGTAAGTGAGTTCAGCAACCTCCAAGCAGTGCTGGGATAAGCAACAAAAACTGCATTACAGAAAGGCTGAGTTGCTGCGAGGACTAGGGGGATGGTGGTTTGGGCTGGACAGTGTTAACAGGTGCTGCTTTATGGTGTTGGCTCCAATCCCTCTGAATCACAGCTTCACAGCTGTGAGAAGGGACAGTAGAAGTGCTCCAGCTCACTGGGGAGATGCGAAGATTGAATTTTTAACTGTGTGCATTCAGCAGCGTGGAAGCAAAAAAGGATGTTTGCTTTCAGCACAGGGCCTGGGGTGGGGATACAGGGGTGGGGACCCAGCTGCCAAGCGTGTTTTGTTGTCTCCCTTATTTCAGGTCATTTCTTTTAAGTCGGCACAGGGCTTTTAAGGACTGTGTCCCATATCTGAGTCTTAGCAGATTTGCCCACATGTTTTCCTGTGTGTGTCTCTGGGACTCATAAAAGCGTCTTTAGTGCTCAAGTAACTTCCCCTTTGAGAAGGGACTGTCAAAGACAGGCACTAATGTCATTAGGAGGTTACAAGGGGGAAACAAGAGAGAATTTGCTACAGATCCTCATTTCCATAATCTTGCCTTGGCTTCCTCGTTTGTCAGTTCTTAACCTCAATTCTTTAACCTCCAAATCTGTGGAGTCGTTGACCTTGGGGATTTGTCTTCAAACTGATTTCAAGTTTTAGGCAATCTAAATTAGGCTTCCCATGACAGAAGACAAAACTTGGTCTTTCACCCAAATGTGAAAGACAGGCCCAGAGTGCAAGTGAAATCTTGCAATCATTTTTTCAAACCATCTGCCCATCTGCAGTCCCAGAACAATATCAGTTCGGTGCTGCCTTCCCTCTCTCTCTCAGGAATAAAGAAATTACCATAAACAAAGCAGATCAAGGGTCTTTTTAAGCCAAATGCAGCCAAGACACATTGCTTCAGAAAGGAGCAGGAGAGGAAAAAAGAGCTGCAGGGGAAGTTTCTTCCTAATTCTCATTAACTCCAGTTTGGCCGGTGATGCTGGACGCTGCAGTGTAATTTGGAGGGGATGGTGCTGTGTCCCTCTCCATGGGCACTCAGTTTCCAAGGTATTTCTGTGGCAAAAAAAAGTGATCACCACGGGGAAAAAAAAAAAAAAAGGAAAAAAGGGCTGCAGAACTGATCCTTAAAAGTGCTCCCTAACTGTGCAGAGGAGGGAGAATACAAGAAAACAGGGAAATTAGTCTGGACACAAAGAGCCTTTTGGTCGCTCAGACCATTTCTGCGTTGCACATGGCAGTCAAACCCCTGCCTGAATCACACTCTTTATTTCAGGGAGCGAAGCCGTTGTGAGAAGATGCATTTATTTCCAAGAGTGCTCTGAGTTAGAGAGGCTGCAGCAAGCTGGCAGGGCAGCTTGGCACGAGGATTTTCTGGAGCAGCAGGTAGAGATGAACAACGGGAGCTGGACGAATCCCTGCATGATGGGGAAACAGGGGAGGTAGAGAGATTAAATAATTCAGTGTGTGTTGATGTGATGCATGGAAAAATACTGCCAGAAGTCACAAAGCTAAATGCCTGGGTACCTCACCAATGGATCAGAGAGCAGGTTTTGGGGATAAAAGGAGGGAAACAGGCACATCCGTGCTGGGGAGCAGCTTGTGCAGCGGTGGCTGCGGAGAGGCTGCCCCCGAGGTGCCGAGAGGGGGAAGGAGATCTGCGGGAGCCTCAGCCTCATTATTTTTATGTTCAGCTGCCTAATTACTACGTGTCAGCTGTCTGTTGGAAGGAACGATGTACTGCAGCCTCTCGTTTGGGAATTTATAGTGATTAATGGGCCTGGAGGGAATGACTAACGAGGAAATGTTAGAATTAGTAAATAAGCATCACCATGCAGTGAGTAAAGCAGGGGACATGACAAATGAGCCCAAATATGTGAAAGATGTAAATGTTGCAGAGGGACAACCTTTGGGATGTCCTGGGGACCCACAGAAACCGAGAGGAACAGGAGGGTGGGAGCAACACAGGTGTGATCCCCGTGGGGAGACAACAAACCAAGGAGGGCCCTCCAAAGCTTTCCAGGCAGTCCTAGGCAGTCTTGGAGGAACAAACTCGCTCTGGCAGGCACTGCAGCAGGATGGAAAGCTGATTCCCTGTCTGTTGTGTCCTGTGGAGCACAGCAAGGAGCACCAGTGTCACAGCCACGTGCTGGGCCATCACCACAATCTGTCCTTCACCAGGACCCGTGTCTTTGAAGATATTTAGGTACTGTAAGACCCAAACCACTTGGTTTATCCATTTCATATGCAGAAATTGCTTTCAGCTCGACTGTTTCAGAAGAACTTGTTTACCAAATAACAGCTTTGCTGCGTGCCAGGGACCTGTAGCTGGTCCAACATCCATGCAAAGTAACACCTGCAGGCTCAGCCTTACAGGCAAGGACAGCACAGAACAGCATCATGGAGGGGCCTGGGTTTTGGGGCTACTTGCCCTCTATTTTTATGTAAGAGAGATGTGCAAACCCCCAGAATTACAGCTTGCAGGTGTTTTTGAATGACTGGCATTTTAAAAACTATAACTTTAGGAAAAATTCTACTAATTACAGTAAATTTATTAAAAGCAGTAAAATTAACAGGATTAAAGAAGAAAAGCAGCTGTCTTAATTTCTTGATCAAATATCTCACTGAGATCATCTGGCAATCACTGGTCTGTACACCTGTCCACTGCCAGCATCTGCTGGTGAGGACATTCCTTGAGCAGTGCAAGATAAACCTTTGCACCAGTGTCACAGTCTTTATATGAAACTAGAACCCAGACTAAAATGTTTGTGAGTTTTGGGTCGCAGAAAATCTAGAACTAGATCTGCTACAGAAAACTGAAATTTGGTCTCATTTGGACCTACCAGATCAAACCCCTCACTCCATGTGGCTTTTCAATTTTATTTCCAGCACAGCAACATTATTCAAATTTCACTCAATTGAAAGATGCAGCTGTTTCTATTT